AGGGCTGGTTTTGGGGTGTCCCAGGATGATTTTGGGGTGGTTTTTGGGGTGTCCCTGATGTTTTGGGATGTCCCAGGTGGATTTTGGGGTGATTTTGAGATATCCCAGGATGGTTTTTGGGGTGTCTCTGATGTTTTTGGGGTGGTTTTTGGGATGTTTTGGGTATTTCTGGGGTGTCCCAGGATGATTTTGGGGTGGTTTTGGGATATCCAGGGATGTTTTTGGGATGTTTTGGGGTGTCCCTGATGATGTTTTGGGGTAGTTTGGGGATGTTTTTGGGATATTCCAGGATGGTTTTGGGGTGATTTTGGGGTATCCCAGGTGGATTTTGGGATATCCAGGGATGTTTTGGGGTGTCCCAGGATGGTTTTGGGGTGTCCCTGATGGTGTTTTTTGGGATGTTTCTGGGGTGTCCCTGATGGTTTAGGGCAGGTTTTTGGATATCCCAGGATGTTTTGGGGTATCCCAGGATGTTTTTGGGGTGGTCTGGGGATATCCCAGCCTGGTTTTGGGGTGTCCCTGATGTTTTTGGGGTGTTTCTGGGGTGTCCCTGATGTTTTGGGGTATCCCAGGTGGATTTTGGGGTGTCCCAGGTGGATTTTGGGGTGTCCCTGATGATATTTTGGGGTAGTTTGGGGATGTTTTTGGGATCTCCCAGGATGCTTTAGGGCTGGTTTTGGGATATCCCAGGATGTTTTTGGGGTGGTTTTTGGGGTGTCCCTGATGTTTTTTGGGGTGTCTTTGGGATATCTCAAGATGTTTTTGGGGTGTCCCTGATGTTTTGGGGTGGTTTTGGGTATCCCAGGTGTTCTTTGGGTGTCCCAGGATGGTTTTGGGGTGTCCCAGGTGGATTTTGGGGTATCCCAGGATGTTTTGGGGTGGTTTTTGGGATATCCAGGGATGTTTTTGGGGTGTTTTGGGGTGGTTTTGGGGTGTCCCTGATGTTTTTGGGGTGTCTTTGGCATATCCCAAGATGTTTTTGGGGTGTCCCAGTGTGTTTTTGGGATATTCTTTTGGGGTGTCCCTGATGTTTTTGGGGTGCCCCAGAGCCCGTCAGGAGCTGCAGGAGCTGCAGGAGCTGCAGGAGCTGCAGGAGCTGCGCGCTCGGGGCCGGCGGCTGCAGCAGGAGCTGGAGGCGGCCACTGAGGTGGGGATGGGACCCTATGGAGACCCCAGAGAGACCCCATAGACCCTATAGAGACCCCATAGACCCCATGGAGACCCTATGGAGACCCTATAGAGACCCCACAGAGACCCCATGGAGACCCTATAGAGACCCCATAGAGACCCCACAGACCCCATAGAGACCCTATAGAGACCCCATAGACCCCATGGAGACCCCATAGAGACCCTATAGAGACCCCACAGACCCCATAGACCCCATAGAGACCCCAGAGAGACCCTATAGAGACCCCATAGAGACCCCATGGAGACCCCATGGAGACCCTAGAGACCCCATAGAGACCCTATAGAGACCCTATAGAGACCCCAGAGAGACCTTATAGACCCCATAGAGACCCCATAGAGACCCTATGGAGACCCTGTAGAGACCCTATAGAGATCCCATGGAGACCCCATGGAGACCCCATAGAGACCCTAGAGACCCTATAGACCCTACAGACCCTATAGAGACCCCATAGAGACCCTATAGACCCCATAGACCCCATAGAGACCCCATAGAGACCCTATAGACCCTATGGAGACCTCATGGAGACCCCATGGAGACCCCATAGAGACCCTATAGAGACCCCACAGACCCCATAGACCCCATAGAGACCCTATAGAGACCCCATAGAGACCCTATAGACCCCATAGAGACCCCATAGAGACCTCACAGACCTATAGAAACCCTATAGAGATCCTATAGACCCTATAGACCCTATAGACACTATAAAGACCATAGAGACCCTATAGACACTATAGAGACCCCATAGAGACCCTACAGACCCTCTAGACCCCATAGAGACCCTATAGAGACCCTGTAGACACTACAGGCCCCATAGAGGCCCCATAGAGATCCTACAGAACCCCCAGTGAGCCCTGAATGTTTATGGGGTGGTTTTGGGGTGTTTTGGGGTGTTTTGGGGTGTTATGGGTGGTTTCTGGGGTGTTTATGGGATGGGTTTTGGGGTATTCATGGAGTGTTTATGGGATGGGTTTTGGGTGTTTTTTGGGGTGTTTATGGGGTGGTTTTGAGCTGTTTATGGGATGGTTTTGGGATGTTTTATGGGGTGGTTTTTGAGGTGTTTTTTGGGCTGTTCATATGATGTTTTTGGGGTGGTTTTGGGGTGGTTTTGGGGCTGTTCATGTGATGTTTTTGGGGTGGTTTTTGGGGTGTTCATGGGATATTTTTGGGATGTTTTTGAGCTGGTTCTTGGGCTGTTCATGTGCTGGTTTTGGGCTGGTTTATGGGGTGTTTTTGGGCTGTTCCTGTGACATTTTTGGGGTGTTTTTGAGGTGTTTTTGGGCTGTTTTTTGGGCTGTTCATGTGACATTTTTGGGGCTGTTCCTGTGACATTTTTGGGCTGTTCCTGTGACATTTTTGGGGTGTTTTTAGGGTGTTTTTGGCTGTTTTTGGCTGTTCATGTGCTGTTTTTGGGCTGTTTTGGGGCTGTTTTGGGGCTGTTTTTGAGGTGTTTTGGGGCTGTTTTGGGGCTGTTTTTTGAGGTGTTTTTGGGCTGTTCCTGTGACATTTTTGGGCTGTTTTGGGGCTGTTTTTGAGGTGTTTTTGGGCTGTTTTGGGGCTGGTTTTGGGCTGTTTTGGGGCTGTTTTTGAGGTGTTTTTGGGCTGTTTTTGGGGCTGGTTTTGAGGTGTTTTTGGGCTGTTTTTGGGCTGTTCCTGTGACATTTTTGGGGCTGTTTTGGGGCTGTTTTTGAGGTGGTTTTTGGGCTGTTTTTGGGCTGTTTTGGGGCTGTTTTTGAGGTGTTTTTGGCTGTTTTTGGGCTGTTTTGGGGCTGTTTTGGGCTGTTTTTGAGGTGGTTTTGGGCTGATTTTTGGGGCAGGCCCAGCGGGGGCTGCGGGAGCTGAGCGAGGCCCAGGCCCGGGAGCTGCAGGAGAAGCAGAACCAGAGAGAGAACCTGGAGAGGGAACTGCAGGTACGGGGGAATTTGGGGGGGATTTGGGGGGATTTGGGGGGGTCCTGGGGGGGATTTAGGGGGGTCTGGGGGCAATTTTCGGGGGTTTGGGGGGATTTGGGGGGGTTTTGGGGGGGTCCTGGGGGAGATTTTGGGGGAGATTGGGGGGGGATTTCAGGGGTCTGGGGGGGGAATTTGGAGATCCTGGGGTGATTTCGGGGGTCTGGGGGGATTTGGGGTATCTGGGGGGGATTTTGGGGGTCTTGGGAGGGATTTTGGGGCTCTTTGGAGGATTTAAGGGGATTTTGGGGGTCCTGGGGGGGTTCGGGGGGGGATTTTGGGGGTCTTGGGGGAGGTTTGGGGGGGATTTCAAGGGATTTGGGGTCCCCATGGCCATTTTGGGGTGCTCATGCTCATTTCGGGGTCCCCATGGCATTGTGGGCTCCCCATGGATACTTTGGGGTCCCCATGGATATTTCGGGGTCCCTGTGGCCATTTTGGGGTGCCCATGCTCATTTTGGGGTCCCCGTGGCCATTTTGGGGTGCCCATGCTCATTTTGGGGTGCCCATGCACATTTTGGGGTCCCCATGGCCATTTTGGGTGTGCCCATGCTCATTTCGGGGTCCCCATGGCCGTTTTGGGCTCCCCATGCTCATTTTGGGGTCCCCATGCTCATTTTGGGGTGCCCATGCTCATTTTGGGGTGCTCATGCACATTTCGGGGTGCCCCTGGACATTTTGGGGTCCCCATGGATATTTTGGGGTTCCTGGGGGGGTTTTGGGTTCCCCGTGACCATTTCGGGGTCCCCATGGCCATTTCGGGGTCCCCATGCTCATTTTGGGGTCCCCATGGCCATTTTGGGGTGCCCATGCTCCTTTTGGGGTCCCCATGGCCATTTTGGGGTCCCCGTGGCCATTTTGGGGTCCCCATGCTCATTTTGGGGTGCCCATGCACATTTTGGGTTCCCCATGCTCATTTTGGGCTCCCCGTGCTCATTTTGGGCTCCCCATGCTCATTTTGGGGTCCTCATGACCATTTTGGGGTCCCCATGGCCATTTTTGGGGTCCCCATGGATATTTTGGGGTCCCCATGGCCGTTTTGGGGTCCCCGTGCACATTTTGGGGTCCCCATGCTCATTTTGGGGTCCCCATGGCCATTTCGGGCTCCCCATGCTCATTTTGGGGTCCCCATGGCCATTTTGGGGTCCCCGTGGCCATTTTGGGGTGCCCATGGCCATTTTGGGGTCCCCATGCTCATTTTGGGGTCCCCATGGCCATTTTGGGGTCCCCATGCTCATTTTGGGTTCCCCATGGCCATTTTGGGGTCCCCATGGCCGTTTTGGGGTCCCCATGCACATTTCGGGGTCCCCATGGCCGTTTTGGGGTCCCCATGGATACTTTGGGGTCCCCGTGGCCATTTTGGGTTCCCCGTGGCCATTTTGGGGTCCCCATGACCATTTTGGGGTGCCCATGCACATTTTGGGTTCCCCATGGCCATTTTGGGGTGCCCATGCTCATTTTGGGCTCCCCATGCTCATTTTGGGGTCCCCATGCTCATTTTGGGGTCCCCATGGCCATTTTGGGCTCCCCATGCTCATTTTGGGGTCCCCATGCTCATTTTGGGGTTCCAGGTGTGCTCAGGTGAGCGGGATCAGCTCCGTCAGCGCCTGCTCGAGGCCGAGGCCGCCCAGGTGACCCCAAACCCTCCCCTCCCCCTCCCCCAGACCCCTCCCACTTTTGGGGTCCCCCTCCCCTCCCCCAAACGTTGGGGACCCCCCAAAATCCTCGCCCTGTGCCCCCCCCCCTCCAGGAGCGGCTGAGGGAGGAGCAGGAGCAGCAGCGGGGGCAGCTCGAGGTCAGCTGGGATTGGGGTGAATTTGGGGAAATTTGGGGAATTTGGGGAGATTTTGGGGGAAATTTTGGGGAAATTTAGGGGAATTTGGGGGGAATTTTGCGGGAAATTTGGGGGATTTTGGATATTTTTGGGCGGAGATTTGAGGTAAGATTTGGGGAGGATTTGGGGGAAATTTGGGTAAATTTTGGGGGAAATTTTGCGGGAGATTTTGGGGAATTTTGGGGAGATTTTGGGGGGAAATTTTGTGGGAAATTTGGGGGATTTGGGGGATATTTTTGGGGGGGGATTTGGGGGAAATTTTGAGGAGATTTTGGGTGAATTTTGGGGGAAATTTTGCGGGAAATTTTGGGGATTTTGGATATATTTGGGGGGATTTGGGGAAATTTGGGGGGATTTGGGGTAAATTTTGGGTGAGATTTTGGGGGAAATTTTGGGGCGATTTGGGGGAAATTTTGCAGGAAATTTGGGGGATTTTGGATATTTTTGGGCGGAGATTTGGGGTAAATTTTGAGGAGATTTTGGGGGAAATTTTGGGGAGATTTAGGGGAAATTTTGCGGGAAATTTGGGGGATTTTGGATATTTTTTGGAGGAGATTTGGGGGTAAGATTTGGGGAGATTTTGGGGGAAATTTGGGGGAGATTTGGCGGAAATTTTGCAGGAAATTTTGGGGGATTTTGGATATTTTTTTGGGGAGATTTGGGGTAAGATTTTGGGGTAAATTTTGGGGGCATCTTGAGGAGATTTGGGGAATTTTGGGGAGGTTTTGGGGGAAATTTTGGGGGAAATTTTGGGGGAAATTTTGGGGGGATTTGGGGGAAATTTTGCAGGAGATTTGGGGGAAATTTTGAGGAGATTTGGGGGTAAATTTTGGGGAGATTTTGGGGGAAATTTTGCAGGAAATTTGAGGGATTTTGGATATTTTTGGGCGGAGATTTGGGGTAAGATTTGGGGAGTGTTGGGGGAAATTTTGGGGAGATTTTTGGGGAAAATTTAGGGGAATTTGGGGGAAATTTTGTGGGAAATTTGGGGGAAAATTTTGTGGGAAATCTGGGGATTTTGGATATTTTTGGGCAGAGATTTGAGGTAAGATTTGGGGAGGATTTGTGGGAAATTTTGCAGGAAATTTTGGAGGATTTTGGATATTTTTGGGGGGAGATTTGGGGGGAATTTGGGGTAAATTTTGAGGAGATTTGGGGGAAATTTTGCAGGAAATTTGGGGGAAATTTTGCAGGAAATTTTGCAGGAAATTTTGGGGGATTTTGGATATTTTTGGGCGGAGATTTGGGGAGAATTTTGGGGGGACTGGGGGGGAAATTTTGGGGAGATTTTGGGGGAAATTTTGCGGGAAATTTGAGGGATTTTGGATATTTTTGGGGGAGATTTGGGGTAAGATTTGGGGAGGTTTCGGGCAGAATCTGGGGTAAATTTTGGGGAGGGTTTGGAGCAATTTGGGGTAAATTCTGGGGGAAGCTTGGGGTAAATTTTGGGGAATATGGGGAGGTTTTGGGGGGAATTTGGGGTAAATTTTTGGGAAATTTGGGGAACTTTGGGGTAAGTTTTGGGGAGATTTGGGGTAAATTTTGGGGGAATTCGGGGTAAAGTTTTGGAAAATTTGGCGAACTTTGGGGTAAATTTTGGGGTAAATTGTGGGGAGATTTTGCGTTAAATGTCCCCAGATGTCCCCAAATTGTCCCCAAATTGTCCCAAATTGTCCCCAAATGTCCCCAATGTCCCCCAGGAGGGAGCTGGGGCAGCTTGCGGGCGGCGCTGGGGGAGGAGCAGCGGCTGCGGGAGCTGCACGAGGCCGAGGGACGCGCCCTGAGACAGGTGGGACCCAAAATCCCCTAAAACCGCCCCAAAATGGCCCCAAAACCTGCAAAAACGGCCCCAAAATCCACCAAAACGGCCCCAAAATGCCCCAAAACGGCCCCAAAATCCCCTAAAATGGCCACAAAATACCCTAAAATGGCCCTAAAATCCCCTAAAACGGCCCCAAAATGGCCCCAAAATGCCCTAAAACGGCCCCAAAACCGGCCCCAAAACAGCCCTAAAATGGCCCCAAAACCAGCCCCAAAATCCCCTAAAAACAGCCCTGAAATCCCCCAAAACGGCCCTAAAATCCCCCAAAATGGCCCTAAAAATACCCTAAAACGGCCCCAAAATCCCCTAAAACAGCCACACAATCCCTTAAAACAGCCCCAAAATCCCCTAAAACAGCCCTAAAAAACCCCTCCAAAACCAGCCCCAAAATCCCCTAAAACCACCCCAAAATCCCCAAAACGGCCCCAAAATCCCCAAAACGGCCACAAAATGCCCTAAAACAGCCCTAAAACGGCCCCAAAACCAGCCCCAAAATCCCCTAAAACCGCTCCAAAATCCCCCAAAACGGCCCCAAAATCCCCTAAAATGGCCACAAAATGTCCTAAAACAGCCACACAATCCCCTAAAAACAGCCCTAAAACGGCCCCAAAACCGGCCCCAAAATCCCCTAAAACCACCCCAAAATCCCCCTAAACCCCTCCAAAACTGCCCCAAATCCCCTTGTAACCCCCAAAATCACCCCAAATCCCATTGTAACCCCCCAAAATCCCTCTCACGACCTCTCATGACCCCCCCAAAACCCCCAAAAATCCCCCAAAATCCCATTGTAATGCCCCAAAATCCCTCTCATGTCCCCCCAAAATCCCCCAACCCCTCGCCAGGAGCTGCAGGACTCCCCCTAAAACTCTAAAAAAATCCCGTTGTAATCCCCCCAAAAATCACTCAAAATCCCTTTAAAACCCCTCCAAATCCCTCTCACCACCCCCAAAAATCCCTCAGGACCCTCCCCAAAACCCCCAAAAAACCCCCAAAAACCCCCCAAAAACCCCCCAAAAATCCCCTAAACCCCTCCAAAACTGCCCCAAATCCCCTTGTAACCCCCAAAAAATCACCCAAAATCCCGTTGTAATCCCCCAAAAATCACCCAAAATCCCTTTAAAACCCCTTCAAATCCCTCTCACGACCCCCAAAAATCCCCCCAAAATCCCCCCAGGAGCTGCAGAACCCCACCTAAAACTCTAAAAAAAATCCCCTTGTAACCCCCAAAAATCACCCAATCCCATTGTAATCCCACAAAATCCCTCTCATGATCCCCAAAAATCCCTCAGGATAGCCCCAAAAACCCCCCAAAAATCGCCCCAGGAGCTGAAAAATCCCCCCCAAACCTCTCCAAAACTGCCCCAAATTTTCTTGTAACCCCCAAAAATCACCCAAAATCCCTTTAAAACCCCCAAAAATCACCCAAAATCCTTTAAAAACCCCCAAAAATCCCTCTCACAACCCCCCAAAAACTCCCCCCAGGAGCTGCAGAACTCCCCCTAAAACTCTAAAAAAATCCCCTTGTAACCCCCAAAAATTACCCCAAATCCAGTTGTAACCCCCAAAAATCACCCAAAATCCCTCTCACGACCCCCAAAAATCACCCCAAATCCCATTTTAATCCCCCAAAATCCCTCTCACGACCCCCAAAAATCCCCAAAACCCCCAAAATCCCCCCAGGAGCTGAAGGACGTGCGGGACGGGCAGCGCATCCTGGAGAAGAAAGGCAGCGCCGCCGTGAGCGACCCCGGGGCGGCTTCGGGGACCCCCCAAACCTTTTGGGGACCCCCCCAGGGATTTGGGGGGTTCCTAAAGACCCCCAAAAACCCCGAAATTTCCCCCCTGTCTCAGCTGAAGGATTTGAGGAGGCAGCTGCAGCTGGAGCGGCGCCGGGGGGAGCGGCTGCAGGAGCGGCTGCAGGAGCTGCTGGTGCCCAGCAGGGCCCGCTCGGGTCAGGGGGGACCCCAAAATTCGGGGAGGGATGGGGAGGGGGGGACCCCAAAAAATGTCAAAATTTAGGGGAGGGTGAGTAGAAAAATGGAGGGGAAAATCAGGAGAATTTGGCGGGGGGAGGAGGGCAAAATTTGGTGAAGAAAGAGCAAAAATTGGGGGGAGAATCCCAGAATTTGAGGGGGGGGGGGAACGACAAAATTTGGGGGAGGGAACCCCAAAAATTGGGGGGAGAATCCCAAAATTTCAGGGGAGAAGCCCCACAAGTTGGGGAGAGAATTCCAAAATTTGGGGGGGGTTACCATGAAATTTTGGGGGAGAATCCCAAAAAATTGGGGGGAGAATCGCAGAATTTGAGTGGGGGGGAACGACAAAATTTGGGGGAGGGAACCCCAAAAATTGGGAGGAGAATCCCAAAATTTCAAGGGAGAAAACCCCTAAATTTGGTGAAGAAACACCAAAAATTGGGGGGGGAATCCCAAAGTATGGGGTGGGGGGGGGGGACTCCAAAAGTTGGGGAGAGATCCCCTAAATTTGGGGGAAGGTAACCCCAGAAATTGGGAGGAGAATCCCAAAAATTGGGAGGAGAAACCCAAAATTTGGGTGAGGGTAGCCCCAAAATTTCAGGGGAGAAAACCCCTAAATTGGGTGAAGAAATACCAAAAATTGGGGGGGGAATCCCAAAAAATTGGGGGGAGAATCGCAGAATTTGAGTGGGGGGAACCCCAAAAATTGGGGGGGAATCCCAAAAATATGGGGTTGGGGGGGGAACCCCACAAATTGGGGAGAGAATTCCTAAATTTGGTGAAGAAACACCAAAAATTGGGGGGAAAATCGCAGAATTTGAGTGGGAGGAATTACAAAGTTTGGGGGAGGGAACCCCAAAAAATTGGGGGGAGAATCCCAAAATATGGGGCGGGGGGGGAACCCCAAAAGTTGGGGAGAGATCCCCTAAATTTGGGGGAAGGTAACCCCAAAAATTGGGAGGAGAATCCCCAAAATTTGGGGGGGGAAATCCCGAAATTTGGAGGAGAACCTCAAAATTTGGGTCGGGGGAGAGAACCCCACAATTTGGGGAGTGTAACCCAAAAAATTGGGGAGGGGGGAACCCCAAAATTTGAGTGGTGGAGAAGCCCAAAATTGGAGGAAGCAAACCCCAAAAATTCGGGGAAGAAACACCAAAAATTGGGGGGAGAATCCCAAAATTTGGGAGAGGGTAACCCTGAAATTTTGGGGGGAGAATCCCAAAATTTGGGCGAGCGTTACTTTAAAATTTGGGGAGGGGGGATCCCCAAAATTTGGGTAGGGGCATCCCTGATGGGATTTTGTGGTCCCTGATGGATTTTGGGGGGTCCCTGATGGATTTTGGGTGGTCCCCGATGGATTTTGGGGGGTCCCTGATGGATTTTGGGGTCCGTGATGGATTTTGGGGGGTCCCTGATGGGGTTTGGGGGGTCCCTGATGGGTTTTGGGGTCCCCCAGGACTGGAGGAGCTGGGCTTGGACGGAGGCTCCTCCCCAGGGCGGGGCCCGGGCGGGGACAGCAGCTCCGTGTCCTCATTGGGCCGCGATGGCTCCGCCCCCGGAAGCACCAAGGTGGGTGGGGCCTCAGGGAAGTGGGCGGGGCATCAGGGTGGGGCGTGGCTTATTAAAAGGGGTGTGGTCTCAGGCTGGGAATGGGCGTGGTTTGTGTGTGTGGGGTTGTGTGGGTGTGGCTTTTTGGGCGTGGCTTAATTGGATTATTAATTGGTGGGTGTGGCTTGATTTATAATTGGGGGTGTGGCCATGGCTTTAAAGGGTGTGATGGGGTGTGGCTTAAGAGGGTGTGGCTTGGTGGGCGTGGTTTAATGATGGCACAGCTAATTTGGGGGTGTGGCTTAAATGGTTGTGACCCAATGTGGGTGTGGCTTAAGAGGGTGTGTCTGTGTGGGCGTGGTTTAATGAGGGCACAGCTAATTTGGGGTGTGGCTTGAAGGGGGTGTGGCCTAGATGGGTGTGACCCCTCTGTGTGGCTTAAGAGGGGGTGGCTTAAGTAGGACACACCCAATTTGGGCGTGGTTTATTGAGGGCATGGCCTAGATGGGTGTAACCTAATGTGGGTGTGGCTTAAGAGGGTGTGTCTGTGTGGGCGTGGTTTAATGTGGTCACAGCTGATTGGGGTGTGGCTTGATGGGGGTGTGGTTTAAATGTGGGAGAGCACTGTGGGTGTGGCTTAATTCAGATACACCCGGTGTGGGCGTGGCTTATTGAGGGCGTGGCTTGACTGTGACCCAATGTGGGCGTGGCTTGGCTGTGACCCATTGTGGGCGTGGCCGTTTCCCCCTTTCCCTTGACGAACGAACCTCCCGGCTGGGGCGGGGCCTCACGGCGGGGGCGGGGCTTTGTTGGGCGTGGCCTGACGGGGTTGGGCCCCGCCCCCGGCCCCGCCCCCGGCGCAGTCGGGCTCGGGCAGCCCCGGGGGCGGCAGCGCCGGGGGGGTCCCGGCCGGGGGCGGCCTCTCCCCCGCAGAGGTGGCGGAGCTGTTCCAGAGGCTGGCCCAGAGCCAGCAGGAGCGGTGGCTGCTGGAGGAGAAGGTGCGGGGGGACTGGGATAAACTGGGATAAACTGGGGGGGACTGGGAGGGACTGGGGCGGGATTGGGATAAACTGGGGGGGACTGGGAGGGACTGGGGGGGACTGGGAGGGACTGGGATAGAACTGGGATAGAACTGGGGGGGACTGGGATAGACCTGGGAGGGATTGGGAGGGACTGGGAGGGAACTGGGATAGAACTGGGATAAACTGGGAGGGACTGGGGTGGGATTGGGAGGGGGACTGGGAGCACTGGGAGGGACTGGGATAAACTGGGGGGGACTGGGATAGACCTGGGAGGGATTGGGAGGGGATTGGGAGAGACTGGGAGGGATTGGGAGGGACTGGGATAAACTGGGAGGGACTGGGGGGGACTGGGGGGGATTGGGATAAACTGGGGGGGACTGGGAGGGACTGGGAAAGAACTGGGAGGGATAAACTGGGATAAAATGGGAGGGATTGGGAGCACTGGGAGGGGACTGGGGGGGATTGGAAGGGACTGGGAAAGAACTGGGAGGGACTGGGATAAACTGGGAGGGATTGGGAGAGACTGGGAGGGGATTGGGAGCACTGGGAGGGGACTGGGAGTGGATTAGGGGGATTGGGAGGGACTGGGAAAGAACTGGGAGGGAACTGAGATGGACTGGGAGAGAATGGGGGGAACTGGGATGGGATTGGGAGGGTTTGGGAGGAACTGGGAGCACTGGGAGGGACTGGGAGAAGGATTGAAGTGGATTGAGAGGAACTGGGAGGGAACTGGGACAGACTGGGAGGGGATTGGGAGGGGATTGGGATAAACTGGGAGCACTGGGAGGGGATTGGGAGGGACTGGGATAAACTGGGAGCACTGGGAGGGGATTGGGAGGGGATTGGGAGGGACTGGGATAAACTGGGAGCACTGGGAGGGTCGGGGGGTGGCACCTGGAGCTCACCTGCAGCTCCCCTTTGAGGTGAGGCACCTGGAGGTGTCGAGCGCGTCCATGGCCGAGGATCTGTGCAGGAAGAGCGCCATCATCCAGAGCTTCGTCAGGGACAGCCGCACCGGTGAGGGCACCTGGGGCTGAGCTGGGCCTCACCTGAACCTCACCTGAACCTCACCTGAACCTCACCTGTTACACCTGAGCCTCCCCTGAGCCTCACCTGAGCCTCACCTGTTACACCTGAACCTCCCCTGTTACACCTGAACCTCCCTGTTACACCTGAACTTCACCTGTTACACCTGAGCCTCCCTGTTACACCTGAACCTCACCTGAACCTCACCTGTTACACCTGAGCCTCACCTGAACCTCACCTGTTACACCTGAACTTCACCTTGCTACACCTGAACCTCACCTGAGCCTCCCCTGTTACACCTGAACCTCACCTGAGCCTCCCCTGTTACACCTGAACCTCACCTGAGCCTCACCTGTTACACCTGAACCTCACCTGAACCTCACCTGTTACACCTGAGCCTCACCTGTTACACCTGAGCCTCACCTGTTACACCTGAACCTCACCTGAGCCTCCCCTGTTACACCTGAACCTCCCCTGTTACACCTGAACCTCACCTGAACTTCCCCTGTTACACCTGAACCTCACCTGAGCCTCACCTGTTACACCTGAACCTCACCTGTTACACCTGAACCTCACCTGAGCCTCACCTGTTACACCTGAACCTCACCTGAACTTCACCTGTTACACCTGAGCCTCACCTGAGCCTCACCTGTTACACCTGAGCCTCCCCTGTTACACCTGAACCTCACCTGAGCCTCCCCTGTTACACCTGAGCCTCCCCTGAGCCTCACCTGTTACACCTGAGCCTCCCCTGTTACACCTGAACCTCACCTGTTACACCTGAACCTCACCTGAGCCTCCCCTGTTACACCTGAGCCTCACCTGAACCTCCCCTGTTACACCTGAGCCTCACCTGTATCTGTCACACCTGAACCTCACCTGTCCCTCCTCTCACCTGTCCCCTCACCTGCCACCCCAACCATCTGTCACCTCCCTCACCTGTCAGCTCACCTGCCCCTCCCTCACTTGTCCCCACCCATCTGATCCTTCTCACCTGTCCCGGTCCCACCTGTCCCAGTCTCAGCTGTCCCCCTCACCTGTACCCTCACCTGTCTCTCTCTCTCACCTGTCCCTCCCCTGTCCCTCTCTCACCTGTCCCTCTCTCACCTGTCCCTCCCTCACCTGTCCCCGTCTCACCTCTCTCACCTGTCCCCCTCACCTGTCCCTCACCTGTCCCTCCCTCACCTGTCCCTCTCTCACCTGTCCCTCCCCTGTCCCTCCCCTGTCCCTCTCTCACCTGTCCCCCTCACCTGTCCCTCTCTCACCTGTCCCAATGTCACCTGTCCCTCACCTGTCCCCCTCTCTCCCGTGTCCGCAGAGGCCGCGGGTCCCGCGGGGCCGGCGCGGCGCGGGGCGGGGCCGGGCCCAGGTGAGGAGGGGCTGCGGGAGATGAACAAGAAGCTGCAGAACCTCCTGGAGGAGCAGCTGACCAAGAACCTGCACCTGGCACAGGTGAGGGGGCGGGGCCATGGAGGGGTGTGGCCGCAAGGGGTGTGGTTTGTGGGAAGGGGTGGAGCCTCTTAAAGGGGTGTGGTTTATTGAAATGGGCGTGGTCCCTGGGAGTGGGGTGTGGCTAAATGGAGAGGGTGTGGCTTATAGGGGTGTGGTTTGTGAGAAAGGGGTGGGGCTCAAAAAGGGGCGTGGTTTAAGTTTGGGGGTGCTGCATAATCTAGGACATCAGAGAGGGGTTTAAAGTGGAGGCGGGGCTTTCAGCTGTGGGCGTGGCCAGGACGAGAGTGTGGTCGCTCTGAGGGCGTGGCCTCACGCAGTGGGCGTGGTCTCTACCCCTCTTCATTCCCCCCTTTCCAGGACCTGGAGTCGCTGTCCCAGGAGCTGGCGCAGCTCAGGAAGGAACAGGCGACCCCCCAGGGACCCCCCTGAGGGGCGGGGCCTCTTTTGGTGGGCGGGACCTCGCCCCCTACCCCCCCCGCAGGCTCCGCCCCCCGGCTGGGGCGCTGCTGCGGGCGAGGCGTTGCCCCTTTAAGGACGCGGTGGGCCCTACCGGCATTGCCCCTTTAAGGCCGGACGGTTCTTTACATGGCCTTGCCCCTTTAAGGGTGGGCGGGGCTCCCTGGAGGGCGTTGCCCCTTTAAGAGCGAGGGCAGTTCTGCTGCGGCGTTGCCCCTTTAAGGAGGACGTGGTCCCCACTCTGGCGTTGCCCGTTTAAGGCGGTCCCGCATGCGCCCCCGTCTCCCCCCAATAAACCCGATGTGAATCGCTGCCTGTGACGTCATTTCGCTGCGTTAGAAAGGGTGGGAGGAGTCGTGACGTCATTAAAGGAACAAACTCGGCGGCAGAGCCCGCCCCGTGACGTCGATTCCGCGCGCTGCCCCGGATGTTGTTGCCGCGGCCGCGGCCGCAGGACGGGCACGGGCGCGGCGCGGCTCCGGATCCCCCCCCACGAAACCGCGCACCTTCCGAACGGGGGGCGCGGCGTGGCGTCAGCACGGTGACGTAACAGCAGCCCCCCGCTTCCCCGGCTCGGGGGGGCGGCGGCGGCGGCGAAAACCCCCCGGAACCCCCAACCCCCCCCGAGACCCCGCCCCAACATGGCGGCGACGACGGGGGGCGGGGCCTCGCCGGGCGGCGGGGGCGGGGCCGCGCTGGAGGAGGAGTGCGAGGTTGTGCGCGTGCGCGTCAAGGTAAAGGGCGGGGTGAAAACATGGGCGGGGCCTCGCGTGGGCGCGGCTAAGGGGTGGGGTCATGCCCTCTCCGGCAGCCAATCAGCTCGGGGGGGCGTTGCCATCTGCGGGTGTGGCGCCGGCGGGAAAATTTCCCGCCTTTTGAGTCACGTGGGGGGCGGCGGCCAATCAGCGTTGCGGGAGGCGTGTGGCGCTGCTGTGGGGACGGTGCTGCGCCGCCATCTTGGATCGCTGTGAGGGGCCGGGGGGCTCCGGGATCCCCCGGTACCTTCCCAGGATCTCCTGACGCTCCTCCCACAGAAGAACGAGGGGCAGCAGCCGCCCGAGTTCCGCTCATTCGCTGTGGACCCGCAGATCACCTCGCTGGACGTGCTGCAGCACATCCTGGCCCGGGCCTTCGACCTGCAGGGGTGAGTGGCACCCCCCGGATCCTCCCTCTGGGCACACCTGGGACCCCCCAGAGCACCCAGGTGAGCTCACCTGTGTCCCCTCAGGAAAAAAAGCTTCGTTCTGAGCTTCGCGGCACGGGATGGGCAGGGCCAGGACACCTTTGTGCCTCTGCTGAGCGATGGGGACCTGGCCAATGCCTTCAACTGCGCCAGGCCCACCCTGAGGCTGCGCCTGGACGTCAGGAACCCTCCTGACAGTGAGTGACACAGCTGGGGGGGTGGAGAAACACCTGGGACACACCTGGGATAGTCACAGACTTACCTGGACACACCTGGGCAGAGTGAGACACACCTGGGTGGGACAGGACACATCTGGGGACACTTGGTGGCCTGGGCTGGGTGTCAGGCGGCTCTGGGCGTGCTCAGGTGTGCGAGATGGGGCTCCCAGGGCTCTCAGGTACCTGTGGCTCAGGTGTGCTGTCCCCAGGCCCGCTGCTGGAGGACTGGGACATCATCAGCCCGCGGGAGGTGGCGGCGGCCGAGCCGGTCCCCGAGCGCCGCTCGCTGCTGGCGGCGGCCCTGCCCTTCACCCAGGCTCTGCTGGCACAGGTGAGCACACCTGGTGCAGGTGAGGCACACCTGGGCTGCCCCACCCTGCTGGAAGCTCACAGAGAGCTCCTGCTTGGGCATCCCAGCGCCCTCCCAGTGGCACCTGTGCTGTTCCCACAGGTGGGCCGGACGCTGGCGCGGGCACAGGCGGCCCTGGCGTGGCCCGAAGGGACCCCGGCCGTGTCCCCGCCCCCTCCCCCGCCCCCGCCCTGCGCCCCCCTGAGCGACGCCGACCTGAGGTCGTACCTGGGCCCAGGTGGGCGCCTGCTGCGGCCCCAGGACCTGCGGCTGCACGTCTTCCACGGCGGCGTCGAGCCCGGCCTGCGCAAGGTGAGAGCCCAGAGACGCACCTGGGGGGGGTGTGATCACACCTGGGGCACATCTGGGGGGTTGTGGTCACACCTGGGGTACACCTGAGGGAGGTTCTGATCACACCTGGGGTTCTCCGATCTCTCTGAGGTTCACCTGGGGGTTGTGATTGCATCTCAGTCACACCTAAGGTGTTCTGGTGTTGCCTGAATTGCAGCTGTGGTCTTCTGATGTCACCTCAGCCACACCTGAGGATCCTCAGATCCATCCTGAACAACACCTGAAGTTTTCTGATTTCTACCTGGGGTCACCCTTGACCTTCTCTGACCCTCATTGTCTCTGGGTGCACGTGGTGTGGTGTTACCTGCTGAACTTGCCCCTAATTTCTCACCTGTCTCATTCCCCTGTACAGGAGATCTGGCGTTACCTGCTAAGCATTTCCCTGATCCCTCACCTGTCCTCATTTCCCCTGTATAGGTGGAGTGGTGTCACCTGCTGAACCTGTCCCTGATCCCTTACCTGTCCTCATTTTCCCTGTACAGGTGGTGTGGTGTTACCTGCTGAACCTGTCCCTGATCCCTCACCTGTCCATTCCTCCCATACAGGTGTTGCTGAGCGTGTCCCTGATCTCACCTGTTGGTGTCACCTGTTGAACCTGTCCCTGATCCCTCACCTGTCCCCATTTCCCCTGTACAGGTGGTGTGGCATTACCTGCTGAACCTGTCCCTGATCTCACCTGTTGGTGTCACCTGCTGAACCTATCCCTCATCCCTCACCTTTCCCATTCCCCCCTACACAGGTGGTGTGGCATTACCTGCTGAACGTGTTCCTGATCTCTCACCTGCTTGTGTCACTTGCTGAACCTGTCCCTCATCCCTCACCTGTCCCCATTCCCCCTCACACAGGTGGTGTGGCATTACCTGCTGAACCTAACCCTAACCCTCACCTTTCCAATTTCCCCTGTACAGGTGGTGTGGCGTTACCTGCTGAACGTGTCCCTCATCCCTCACCTTTTCCATTCCCCCCTGTACAGGTGTTGTGGTGTCACTTGCTGAACCTGTCCCTGACCCCTCACCTGTCCATATCCCCCCACACAGGTGGTGTGGCGTTACCTGCTGAACGTGTTCCTGATCGCACCTGTTGGTGTCACCTGCTGAACCTGTCCCTGTCCCCATTTCCCCTGTACAGGTGTTGTGGTGTCACCTGCTGAACCTGTCCCTGTCCCCTCACCTGTCCATATCCCCCCGCATAGGTGGTGTGGCGTTACCTGCTGAACGTGTCCCTCATCCCTCACCTGTCCATATCCCCCCGCACAGGTGGTGTGGCGTTACCTGCTGAACCTGTCCCTCATTCCTCACCTTTCCCATTCCCCCCGTACAGGTGTTGTGGTGTCACCTGCTGAACGTGTCCCTCATCCCTCACCTTTCCCATATCCCCCCTGTACAGGTGGTGTGGCGTTACCTGCTGAACGTGTTCCCCGCCGGCCTCACGGGCCAGGAGCGCCTGTCCCACCTGCGCCTCAAGGCGGCCGAGTACTCCTCGCTGAAGGTGGCGCTGGCCGCCCGCGCCGCGCCGGCCGAGCTGGCCCAGGTGGCCGCCGCCGTGCGCAAGGACGTGGTGCGCACCGACCGCGCCCACCCCTACTTCGGCGGCCCCGAGGAGGGCCACCCTCACCTGGCCGCCCTGCAGGCGCTGCTCACCACCTTCGCCCTGGGCCACCCGCGCCTCTCCTACTGCCAGGGCATGTCGGACGTGGCGGCGCCGCTGCTGGCCGTGCTGGACGACGAGGCCCAGGCCTTCCTGTGCTTCTGCTCGCTGATGCGCCGCCTGGCGCCGCGCTTCCGCCCCGGCGGCCGCGGGCTGGCGCGGGCCTTCGGCCACCTGCGCCGGCTGCTGCGCCGCGCCGACCCCCAGTTCTGGGCCTTCCTGGCGGCGCGCGGCGCCCACGACCTCCTCTTCTGCTACCGCTGGCTGCTGCTGGAGCTCAAGCGCGAGTTCGCCTTCGAGGACGCGCTCAAGGTGCTGGAGATCACCTGGAGCTCCTTGCCCCCGGCGCCGCCGCCGCCCCCCGAGGGGGTCCCGCTGCTCGGAGCCCCCCTGGGCGCTCGCAGGGCCGGCCGGGCCTTGAGGGAGCGCCGGGGGCTGCGGCCGAGGCCGCCCAGGAGGAGGAGGAGGAGGAGGAGGAAGGTGGAGGAGGAGGAGGAGGAGGAAGGTGGAGGAGAAGGTGCTGGAGGAGTCACTCAGGGCTCTGGTGGTGGCTTTGGGGGGCTCAAGGGCTCCTGTGATGGCCCTGAGGGTGCCAAGAGCTCCAGTGATGTCCCCAGTGGTCCCACAAGCTCCAGTGATGTCCCCGGTGGTCCCACAAGCTCCAGTGACATCCCAGGTGGTCCCAAGAGCTCCAGTGATGATCCAGGTGGTCCCACGAGCTCCAGCGATGGCCCAGAGGGTCCCACAAGCTCCAGTGGTAGCCCTGGGGGTCTCAAGACTTCCAGTGATAGCCCAGAGGGTTCCAAGAGCTCTGGAGATGTCCCCAACAGCCCCAAGACTTCCAGCGAGGTCTTCGAGAGTCCCAAGAGCTTCAGTGATGTTCTAGAAGGTTCCAAGGGTGTCCAGGAGAGTCCTAAGAGCTCCAGCAATGTCCCTGATGGTCCCAGGGACAGCCAGGAGGATCCCAAGAGCTTTAAGAACATTCAGGAAGGTCTTGAGAGCTCCAGTGATGTCCTTAAAGGTCACAAGATCTCCAGAGATGACTCCAAAGGCCACAAAAGCTCCAGAGATGTCCCCAAAGGTCACAAGAGCTTCAGGAAGGTCCAGGGGAGACCCCCCAGGGGTGCTGGAGGAGCCCCCGAGGGCTCCAAGGACTCGGAGCCAGGTGGCCCCAGGAAGGTGGAGGAAGGCACCGACGCCCTGGAGATGGAGCAGAGACCCCACAGCCTCTGCTGGGGGGCTGCAGAAGAGCCCAGAAAAGGACAGGGTGGCCCCAGAGAGGGACACGAGCCAAGAGAAGGACGAGGTGACCTCAGAAGAGGAGGAGGTGACCTCAGAGAGGGATTGGGTGACCCCAAAGAGGGAGTGGGTGACCCAGGAGAAGGAGGAGGTGACCGTGGGATGAATCGCGATGACCTCGGGAAGGTTCGCGGTGATCTCAGAGAAGGGCACAGCTTTGGAGAAGGCCACAGCAACCTCAAGGATGGCCACCATGGCTTCAAGGATGGCCACCATGACCCCAGGGAAGGACGTGATGACCCCAGGGATGGCCACCATGACCCCAGGGATGGTCACCATGACCCCAGGGATGGCCACCATGACCCCAGGGATGGCCGTGATGACCCCAGGGATGGCCACCATGGCTTCAAGGATGGCTGTGATGACCCCAGGGATGGCCGTGATGACCCCAGGGATGGCCACTATGGCTTCAAGGATGGCCACCATGACCCCAGGGATGGCCGTGATGACCACAGGGGTGGCTGTGATGACCACAGGGATGGCCACCATGACCCCAGGGATGGCCGTGGTGATCCCAAGGATGGCCATGATGACCTCAGACATGGCCGTGATGACCCCAGGGACATCCACGACGACCTCAAACACGACCACGTCCACCACGACGACCACCACCCTCCCAAAACCACCCGCCACAACCCAACCACCCCCGACGACCCTTGGGGCGGCCGCTGGGCTTGGGAAGACCCTTCCTCCTCCTCCTCCTCCTCGTGCTCCTCCTGTTCCTCCTCCTCCTCCTCGGACGAGGAGGTGACGGTGGAGGACGACGGCGCGCCGCTGCCGCCTCCGGAGGAGCTGGGCCAGGGGAACCCGTTCCTGCTGTTCGTGTGCCTGGCCATGCTGCTGGAGCAGCGCGAGGCCGTGATGGCGCGCGCCGGCGACTACAACGAGGTGGCCATGCACTTCGACCGCCTGGTGCGCCGGCACCACCTGCCGCGCGTCCTGCGCCGCGCCAAGGCGCTCTTCGCCAGGTACCTGGAGGGGTGGGGCGCCACCGCCCCGGGGGGACCCCAAACGGGGCCTCCCTCGGGGTGAAAAGGGGAGAGGGTGGGGGAAAGGTTCAGGAGACACCAGAGGGGTGGGGGGGGAGAGAGAGAGGGTGGGAGAGGTAAGGACGGGGAAGGGGGGGATGCTGGAGGATGTCTTAGAACATCTCAGAGTTGGTCTGAGGTCATCACGAGGGGCTCCAAAGTCACTGGAGGTCTGTAGGACAAGGTGGTGACTCCATAGAACATCTCAAAGTTGGTCTGAGGTCATCGTGAGGGGCTCCAAATTCACTTGAAGTCTTAAGGGCAAGGTAGTGACGCTGGAGAACATCTCAGAACATCTCAAGGTTGGTCTGACTTCATCATGAGGGGCTCCAAAGTCACTGGAGGTCTGCAGGACAAGGTGGTGACCCCATAAAACATCTCAAAGTTGGTCTGAGGTCATCGTGAGGGGTTCCAAAGTCACTGGAGATCTGTAGGACAAAGTGGTGACCCCATAAAACGTCTCAGAACATCTCCCGAAGGTGCTGAGGTCATCATGAGGGGCTCCATAGTCAGTGTGAGTTTGTAGGACAAGGTGGTGACTCCATAGAACATCTCAAAGTTGGTCTGAGGTCATCGTGAGGGGTTTTAAAGTTACTGGAGGTCTGTAGGACAAGGTGGTGACCCCATGAAACATCTCAGAACATCTCCCGAAGGTGCTGAGGTCATCGGGTGGGGCTCTAAAGTCTGTAGGAGAACATGGTGACCCCGTAGAACGTCTCAAAGTTGGTCTGAGGTCATCATGAGGGGCTCCAAATTCACTTGAAGTCTTAAGGGCAAGGTAGTGACGCTGGAGAACATCTCAGAACATCTCAAGGTTGGCCTGACTTCATCATGAGGGGCTCCAAAGTCACTGGAGGTCTTAAGGGCAAGGTGGTGACCCCATAAAACATCTCAAAGTTGGTCTGAGGTCATTGTTAGAGGCTCCAAAGTCACTTGAAGTCCTAAGGGCAAGGTGGTGACCTCATAGAACATCTCAGAACATCTCAAAGTTGGTCTGAGGTCATCACGAGGGGCTCCAAAGTCACTGGAGGTCTGCAGGACAAGGTGGTGACCCCATAGAACATCTCAGAACATCTCCCAAAGGTGCTGAGGTCATCATGAGCGACTGCAAAGTCAGTGTGAGTTTGTAGGACAAGGTGGTGACCCCATAGAACATCTCAAAGTTGGTCTGAGGTCATCACGAGGGGCTCCAAAGTCACTGGAGGTCTACAGGACAAGGTGGTGACCCCATAAAACATCTCAAAGTTGGTCTGAGGTCATCATGAGAGGCTCCGAAGTCACTTGAAGTCTTAAGGACAAGGTGGTGACCCCATAAAACATCTTAGAACATCTCAGGGTTGGTCTGACTTCATCATGAGGGGCTCCAAAGTCACTGGAGGTCTTAAGGGCAAGGTGGTGACCCCATAAAACATCTCAAAGTTGGTCTGAGGTCATTGTTAGAGGCTCCAAAGTCACTTGAAGTCCTAAGGGCAAGGTGGTGACCTCATAGAACATCTCAGAACATCTCAAAGTTGGTCTGAGGTCATCATGAGGGGCTCCAAAGTCATTGGAGGTGTATAGGACAAGGTGGTGACCCCATAAAACGTCTCAGAACATCTCCCGAAGGTGCTGAGGTCATCATGAGCGACTGCAAAGTCAGTGTGAGTTTGTAGGACAAGGTGGTGACCCCATAGAACATCTCAGAACATCTCAAAGTTGGTCTGAGGTCATCGTGAGGGGCTCCTAAGTCACTTGAAGTCTTAAGGACAAGGTGGTGACCCCATAAAACATCTCAGAGTGGGACTGAGGTCATCGTGAGGGGCTCCAAAGTCACTGGAGGTCTACAGGACAAGGTGGTGACCCCATAAAACGTCTCAAAGTTGGGCTGAGGTCATCGTGAGGGGCTTTGAAGTCACTTGAAGTCTTAAGGGCAAGGTGGTGACCCCATAGAACATCTCAGAACATCTCAGAGTTGGTCTGAGGTCATCGTGAGGGGCTCCAAAGTCACTGGAGATCTGTAGGACAAAGTGGTGACCCCATAAAACGTCTCAGAACATCTTCAGAAGGTGCTGAGGTCATCGTGTGGGGTTCTAAAGTCTGTAGGAGAACATGGTGACCCCATAGAACATCTCAAAGTTGGTCCGAGGTCATCACGAGGGGCTCCAAAGTCACTGGAGGTCTGCAGGACAAGGTGGTGACCCCATAAAATGTCTCAGAACATCTCCCAAAGGCGCTGAGGTCATCATGAGTGACTGCAAAGTCAGTGTGAGTTTGTAGGACAAGGTGGTGACCCCATAAAACATCTCAGAGTTGGTCTGAGGTCATCACGAGGGGCTCCAAAGTCACTGGAGATCTGCAGGACAAGGTGGTGACCCCATAAAACGTCTCAGAACATCTCAGAGTGGGTCTGAGGTCATTGTGTGGGGTTCTGAAGTCTGTAGGAGAACATGGTGACCCCATAGAACATCTCAAAGTTGCACTGAGGTCATCACGAGGGGCTCCAAAGCCACTGTGGGTTTGTAGGACAAGGTGGTGACCCCATAGAACATCTTATATCATCTTCAGAAGGTGCTGAGGTCATCATGAGTGACTGCAAAGTCATTGTGAGTTTGTAGGACAAGGTGGTGACCCCATAAAATATCTCAGAACATCTCCCGAAGGCGCTGAGGTCATCGTGTGGGGTTCTAAAGTCTGTAGGAGAACATGGCGACCCCATAGAACATCTCAAAGTTGGTCTGAGGTCATCACGAGGGGCTCCAAAGTCACTGGAGGTCTGCAGGACAAGGTGGTGACCCCATAGAACATCTCAGAGTGGGTCTGAGGTCATTGTGTGGGGTTCTAAAGTCTGTAGGAGAACATGGTGACCTTGTAGAACATCTCAGAACATCTCAGAGTTGGTCTGAGGTCATTGTGTGGGGTTCTGAAGTCTGTAGGAGAACATGGTGACCCCATAGAACGTCTCAGAACATCTCAAAGGGTCTGAGGTCATCACGAGGGGTCCAAAGCCGCTGTGGGTTTGTAGGACACCGTGGTGACCCCACAGAACATCTCCAGGGACCCCCAAACCCTCATGGGGACCCCTAGACTGAGTGTGAGAAGCTGTGGGACCCCGTGGTGACCCCGCAAAGCATCTCCAGGAGGTCCTGGGGTCACCCTGGGGACCCTTGGGTCCCTGCCGGGGTCTGCAGGACAACCTGGGGACACCAATGGGGACAGGGGGGTCCCTTTGGGGTCCCCAAGGCCACCGTGGGGTCAGCAGGGACCCCCAGGCCTCCCCAGAGACCCCTCCCAGTATAAACCAGTACAGCCCAGTTGGCCTCCCTGCTGGCATCCGCACCACCGTGGGACATCCCAGTACAAACCAGTATAAACCAGTATGAACCAGTAGAGCCCAGTGCCTCCCTGCTGGGTTCTGCACCACCATGGGACATCCCAGTACAAACCAGTATAAACCAGTACCAACCACTCGCCTACCACTGTGGGACATCCCAGTATAAACCAGTATAAACCAGTATGAACCAGTACAGCCCAGTGCCTCCCTGCTGGGTTCTGCACCACCGTGGGACATCCCAGTACAAACCAGTATAAACCAGTATGAACCAGTACAGCCCAGTGCCTCCCTGCTGGGTTCTGCACCACCGTGGGACATCCCAGTACAAACCAGTATAAACCAGTATAAACCAGTACAGCCCAGTGTCTCCCTGCTGGGTTCTGCACCACCGTGGGACATCCCAGTACAAACCAGTATAAACCAGTACCAACCACTCGCCTACCACCGTGGGACATCCCAGTATAAACCAGTATAAACCAGTATAAACCAGTATGAACCAGTACAGCCCAGTTGGCCTCCCTGCTGGGATCTGCACCAGCGTGGCACATCCCAGTACAAACCAGTATAAACCAGTATAAACCAGTACAACCCAATTGGCCTCCCTACTGGGTTCTGCACCACCGTGGGACATACCAGTACAAACCAGTATAAACCAGTATAAACCAGTACCAACCACTCGCCTACCACCGTGGGACATCCCAGTATAAACCAGTGTAAACCAGTACAGCCCAGTTGGCCTCCCTGCTGGGTTCTGCACCACCGTGGGACATCCCAGTACAAACCAGTATAAACCAGTACCAACCACTCGCCTGGGAACTCTTGGATCTACAATGCCTTGGGCCAAACCAGTACGGACCAGTATGGACCAGTTTGGAGCAAGAAGGAGCTGGGAGCCCAACTGGGTGACCCCCACATGCATCGCCTTGTGCCGGACCAGTACGGACCAGTACAGACCAGTACGGACCAGTACGGACCAGTACAGACCAGTACGGACCAGTGCCTTGCCATGGCCTTCAGCCATCCCAGTATGGACCAGTATGGACCAGTCCGGCAGCCAAACTGGGAGTTCTTCACCGGCGTGGCCTTGGGTCTTCCCAGCACGGACCAGTATGGACCAGTATGGACCAGTATGGACCAGTCCAAACCAGTCCAGAGCTCTCCTCACCCGCGTGGCCTTGCGTGCTCCCAGTACGGACCAGTACAGACCAGTATGGACCGGTAGGGTGCCCCCAGTGCTGTGTTGATGCCCACAGGCCTTCTCCCAGTATGGACCAGTACAAACCAGTTCCTGCCCCCCCCCCCCCACCCTGGGTGCCTTCTCCCCTCCCCCCCCCTTTATTTATTGCCCCTCCCCCGGGGGGGTCCCAGGGGTGCCGGAATCGCCAATAAACGATGCCCGATACTGGTGTGGATCCCAGTATGGACTGGGAGGGACTGGGAGGGACTGGGAGGGACTGGGGGCTCCCAGGAGGGACTGGGAGGGACTGGGAGGGAGTTTGGGGCTCCCAGTATGAACTGGGAGGGAGTTTGGGCCTCCCAGTATAGACTGGGAGGGACCGGGAGGTGGTTGTGTTGTCCCAGTATGGACTGGGAGGGACTGGGAAGTTCCCAGTATGGACTGGGAGGGACTGGAAGTGAGTTTGGGGCTCCCAGTATGGACTGGGAAGGGGTTGGATGTTCCCAGTATGGACTGGGAAGGGGTTTGGGGCTCCCAGTATGGACTGGGAAGGACTGGGGGTTCCCAGTAGGGACTGGGAGGGACTGGGAAGGGGTTTGGGGCTCCCAGTATGGACTGGGAGGGAGTTTGGGGCTCCCAGTATGGACTGGGAGGGACTGGAAGTGAGTTTGGGGTTCCCAGTATGGACTTGGGAGAGAATTTGGGACTCCCAGTATGGACTGGGAGGCACTGGGAGGGACTGGGGGCTCCCAGTATGGACTGGGAGAGAATTTGGGCTTCCCAGTATGAACTGGGAGGGACTGAGAAGTTCCCAGTATGGACTGGGAAGGACTGGGGAATCCCAGTAGGGACTGGGAGGGAGTTTGGGCCTTCCAGTATAGACTGGGAGGGACTGGGAAGTTCCCAGTATGGACTGGGAAGGGGTTGGAGGTTCCCAGTATGGACTGGGAAGGGATTTCCCATTCCCAGTATGAACTGGGCAGTTCCCAGTATGAACTGGGAGGGTGCGGGCACGGGCGGGGCCAGGACTGGGATTTTCCCAGTGTTCCCAGTTTGCTCCCAGTTCCCCCAGTTCCCTTTCCCAGTCCCTGCAGTGCTGCCTCCCAGTACTCCCAGTTTCCTTCTCAGTGCCCCCCCAGTTGCTCCCAGTCCCTCCCAGTTGCTCCCAGTCCCTCCCAGTTGCTCCCAGTCCCTCCCAGTTCCATTACTCAGTTCCTCCCAGTTCCGCCAGACCCTCCCAGTTCCCCTTCCCAGTCCCCCCCAGTCCCTCCCAGTCCTTCCCAGTCCCTCCCAGTTCCATTACTCAGTTCCTCCCAGTTCCACCAGACCCTCCCAGTTCCCCTTCCCAGTTCCTCCCAGTTGCCCCCAATCCCTCCCAGTTCCTCCCAGTCCCCCCCAGTTCCCTCCCAGTCCCTCCCAATTGCCCCCAGTCCCTCCCAGTTCCCCTTCCCAGTTCCCTCCCAGTCCCTCCCAGTCCCTCCCAGTCCCCCCAGTCCCTCCCAGTCCCTCCCAGTTCCTCCCAGTTGCCCCCAATCCCTCCCAGTCCCCCCCAGTTCGTTCCCAGTCCCTCCCAGTCCCCCCCAGTCCCTCCCAGTTGCCCCCAGTCCCTCCCAGTTCCCTTTCTCAGTCCCTCCCATTTCCTCCCAGTTCCCCTTCCCAGTCCCTCCCAGTTGCCCCAAATCCCCCCCAGTTCCTCCCAGTCTCCCCCAGTGCCCCCCAGTTCCCTCTCAGTGCCCCCCACTCCCTCCCAGTTCCCCCCCAGTCCCCCCCAGTCCCTCCCAGTTCCCTTTCTCAGTCCCTCCCAGTTCCTCCCAGTTCCCCCTTCCCAGTCCCTCCCAGTTGCCCCAAATCCCCCCCAGTTCCTGCCAGTCTGCCCCAGTGCCCCCCAGTTCCCTCCCAGTGCCCCCCAGTCCCTCCCAGTCCCCCCCAGTCCCTCCCAGTTCCCTCCCAGTCCCTCCCAGTCCCTCCCAGTCCCCCCCAGTCCCCCCCAGTCCCTCCCAGTCCCTCCCAATCCCCCCCAGTCCCTCCCAGTCCCCCCCAGTTCCCCCCCCAGTCCCTCCCAGTCCCCCCCAGTCCCTCCCAGTCCCTCCCAATTGCCCCCAGTCCCTCCCAGTTCCCCTTCCCAGTTCCCTCCCAGTTCCCTCCCAGTCCCTCCCAGTCCCTCCCAGTTCCCCCAGTCCGGAGGTGACGTCCCCCGCCACCTTTGGGTGCTTCCGGCCGGAAGAGGCCTCGGGGGCACCCAGAGATTTTTGGGGGGCGGCTCCGGGGGGGTTTTGGGGGGTCCCAGAGGGGATTTTGGGGGGTCCCAGGGGTTTTTTTGGGATCCCCGGGAGGATTTTGGGGGTTCCCAGGCAGATTTTGGGGGGGTCCTGTGGGGTTTTTTTGGGTTTCCCAGGGATTTTTTTGGGTCTCCCAGGGGGGATTTTTGGGGCTCCCAAGGCGGTTTTGGGGTTCCCAGGGGGGATTTTTGGGTTTCCCAGGGATTTTTTGGGGTTCTCAGGAATTTTTGGGTCTCCCAGGGGGGATTTTTGGGGTCTCCCAAGGCGGTTTTGGGGGTTCCCAGGCAGATTTTTGGGGGGGGTCCTGTGGGGTTTTTTGGGTTCCCAGGGGGAATTTTGGGGCTCCCAGGGATTTTTTTTGGGTCTCCCAGGGGGGATTTTGGGTCTCCCAGGGGGGATTTTTGGGACTTCCCAGGGATTTTTGGGGGTTCCCAGGGTGGTTTTGGGGGTTCCCAGGGATTTTTTGGGGTTCTAGGAATTTTTTGGGGGGTCCCAAAAATCTGGGGATGAGCCGGGGGGGGCGACAGGGGGGGGACAACGTCCCCTCGGAGCTGCTGGGGGAGCAGGAGAACCTGAGGATCTTCGAGGTGCTGGGCAGGAAATGCGTGGTGAGGAACTGGGAGGAACTGGGAGGAACTGGGAGGGACTGGGAGGGAATTGGGAGGGACTGGGAGGGGATTGGGGGGGATTGGGAGGGGACTGGGGGGCACTGGGAGAGACTGGGAGGGACTGGGGGGAACTGGGAGGGACTGGGGGGGGACTGGGGGTGAATTGGGAGAGACTGGGAGGGAACTGGGAGGGAATTGGGGGGGGAACTGGGAAAGGACTGGGTGGGACTGGGAGGGGATTGGGAGGGACTGGGAGGGACTGGGGGGAACTGGGGTGAACTGGGAGGGACTGGGAGGGAACTGGGAAAGGACTGGGAGGGACTGGGGGGAACTGGGAGGGGACTGGGAAAGGACTGGGAGGGACTGGGAGGGAATGGGAGACGCTGGGAGGGAATTTGGGGGGACTGGGAGGGGACTGGGAAAGGACTGGGAGGGACTGGGAGGGGATTGGGGGGCATTGGGAGGGGATTGGGGGAGTTGGGGGGGACTGGGGGGAACTGGGAGGGAATTGGGAGGGGATTGGGGGGGCACTGGGAGAGACTGGGAGGGACTGGGAGGGAACTGGGAAAGGACTGGGGGGAACTGGGAGGGACTGGGGGGAACTGGGAGGGAACTGGGAGGGACTGGGAGGGGATTGGGGGGGAATTGGGAAAGGACTGGGAGGGACTGGGAGGGACTGGGAGGGACTGGGAGGGAACTGGGGGAAACTGGGGGGGACTGGGAGGGAACTGGGAAAGGACTGGAAGGGACTGGGAGGGGATTGGGGGGGACTGGGAGGGACTGGGGGGGGAACTGGGGGGGACTGGGAGGGACTGGGAGGGGATTGGGGGGGAATTGGGAAAGGACTGGGAGGGACTGGGAGGGACTGGGAGGGACTGGGAGGGAACTGGGGGGACTGGGAGGGACTGGGAGGGACTGGGAGGGAATTGGGAGGCACCGGGGGAACTGGGAGGGAATTGGGGGGAACTGGGAAGGGGTTTCAGGGCAGCCTTGGGGGATTTTGGGTTCTCTGAGGCCATTTTGGGGTGTCTGGGCTGGATTTTGAATTCTCTGGGATGGATTTGGGGGTACCAGGTTGGATTTTGGGCTCTCTGGTGGGGTTTTAGGGCAGCCTTGGGGCATTTTGGGGTCCCTGGGCTGGATTTTGGGCTCTCTGGGCTGGATTTTGGGGGTACCAGGTTGGATTTTGGGCTCTCTTGTGGGGTTTCAGGGCAGCCTTGGGAGATTTTGGGTTCTCTGGGATGGAACTTGGGGTCATCTTGGGGGATTTTGGGTTCTCTGAGGCCATTTTGGGGTCTCTGGGCTGGATTTTGAATTCTCTGGGCTGGATTTTGGGGGTACCAGGTTGGATTTTGGGGTGTCTGGGCTGGATTTTGGGCTCTCTTTTGGGGTTTTGGGGCAGCCTTGGGGGATTTTGGGGTCCCTGGGCTGGATTTTAGGATCTCTTGGCTGGATTTTAGGGTCTCGGGGATGGATTTTGGGGTCTCTGGGCTGGATTTTGGGGGTACCAGGTTGGATTTTGGGTTCTCTGGTGGGGTTTCAGGGCAATCTTGGGGGATTTTGGGTTCTCTGGGATGGAATTTGGGGTCGTCTTGGGGGATTTTGGGTTCTCTGAGGCCATTTTGGGGTCCCTGGGCTGGATTTTGGGGTCTCTGGTGGTGTTTTGGGGCAGCCTTGGGGGATTTTGGGGTCTCTGGGATGGATTTTGGGTTCTCTGGTGGGGTTTCAGGGCAGCCTTGGGGGATTTTGGGTTATCTGGGGCCATTTTGGGGTCCCTGGGCTGGACTTTGGGGTGCCTGGGATGGATTTCGGGGTCTCTGGGCTGGAATTTGGGGCAGCCTTGGGAGATTTTGGGTTCTCTGAGGCCATTTTGGGGTCTTGGGATGGATTTTAGGGTCCCTGGGCTGGATTTTGGAGTCTCTTGGAGATTTTTGGGGTGGTCTTGGGGGATTTTGGGGTCCCTGGGCTGGATTTTGGGCTCTCTGGGCTGGAATTTGGGCTCTCTTTTGGGGTTTCAGGGCAGCCTTGAAGGATTTTGGGGTCTCTGGGCTGGATTTTGGGTTCTCTTTTGGGGTTTCAGGGCAGCCTTGGGGCATTTTGAGCTTCCCAGGTTGAATTTCGGGGTGCCCCATGTCCCACCCCCGTGTCCCCCCACAGACCCTGGTGACCGCCGTGGTCCAGCTGGTGGTGGCCGAGCCCGGGGGGGTCCCTGGGGGGGTCCCGGGGGGTCCCGGGGGGGTCCCGGGGGGCTCCTGGAGCCTCCGGGGCTGCGGCGTCGCCTGCCTGGTCCGGGACAGCCCCCGGCGCTCCTACTTCATCCGCATCTTCCGCCTGCCCGTGAGTCTGGGCACCCCAAAACCCCTCGGGGGGGACCCCAAAATCTCGAGGGGGACCCCAAAATCCATGAGGGGGACCCCAAAATTCTGGGGGGGTCCCTAAAGTCCTTGGGGAATTGCTAAAACACAAGGGGAATGGGTTCAGGACAATGCTGGTGCTTCCATTTCATCATCCTCTTATTTGAAGGTGGGTCCCAAATTTTAGGGGGGACCCCAAACTCACAGAGGGGTCCTAAAGTCCATGAGGGGGACCCCAAAATTCTGGGGGGGTCCCTAAAATCCAGGGTGGGTGGGTTCAGGTCAATGCTGATGCTTCCACTTCATCATTCACCCTTTATTTGAGGGGGGGTCCCAAATTTTGGGGGGGACCCCAAAATCAGAGAGGGGTCCTAAAATCTTGGGAGGACCCCAAAATCCATGAGGGGGACCCCAAAATTCTGGGGGGGGTCCCTAAAACCCAAGGGGGTGGGTCCAAGACAGCCCCTGCAGGTTCCACTTCTTCATTCTCCATTTATTTGAGGGGGGGTCCCAAATTTTGGGGGGACCCCAAAATCCCAGAGGGGTCCTCAAATCTTGGGGGGGGGGTCCCCAAAATCCTGGGGGAATCCCCAAAATCCTGGGATGGGGGGAGATCAAGAGGATTGGGATTGAGTGGGGGTCCCTGAGGGGTTTTTGGGGGTCCCTGGGGGGGGTTTTGGGGTCCCTGAGGGGTTTTTGGGGGTCCCTGGGGGGTTTTTGGGGTCCCTGAGGGGTTTTGGGGGGTCCCTGAGGGGTTTTTTTGGGGTCCCTGAGGGGTTTTTGGGGGTCCCTGAGGGGTTTTTGGGGTCCCTGAGGGGTTTTGGGGGTCCCTGGGGGGTTTTTTGGGGGTCCCTGGGGGTTTTTGGGGATCCCTGACCCCAAATTTGCCCCCCCAGGCCGGGGAGCTGTGGTGGGAGCAGGAGCTGCAGGGGGGGATGGGCTACAAGACCCCCACCCCCTTTTTCCACACCTTTGTCAGCCACGTGAGTGGGCGTGGCTGGGGGGCGTGGCCAAGGGAGGGGTGTGGTGTGGGCGTGGCTAAATTTGGGTGGGGTCAGTGGGTGGGGCTGGAGGTGGCCACAGATGAGGAGGGAGGAGCCATTATGGGTGTGGTCAAGGGGGAGGGGCTTAAACGGGCGGGGGCTTTGGGGCGGGGTGAATTTGGGTGTGGGGGCGTGGTCTCGATAAAGTGGGTGTGGTCAGATATTATGGGTGTGGTCATCTTGAGGTAGGTGTGACCTGTTTGCAATGGGGCGTGGCCATATAAGGGAAATGGGCGTGGCTATCAGTGGGCGTGGTCTTTTATAGGCAGGTATTAATGCAGCATGACCAAATAAGGGAAATGGGCGTGGCTGTGGTGCTTGATGGGTGTGGCCAATTGATAAACGCCCTATAAGGGAAAGTGGGTGTGGTTTGGCCAAAGGTGGGTGTGGCTCTGGGTAAGTGGGCGTGGCCTGGCTGCCCACGGCCGCTCCTGATTGGCTCAGGAGGGGCGGGGCTGAACTTCGCCTCTGAGGCCGAGGCTGCGACGTTCGAGGGCCGAGTCCAGGAGAGGCTGCGGCGGCGGCAGCAGCGGGCGGGTGAGAGACCCCTCCCCAAAAATGCACCCGGGGAGCCCCAAAATGCACCTGGGGAGCTTCAAAATGCACCTGGGGACCCCAAAATGCACCTGGGGAGCTTCAAAATGCACCTGGGGACCCCAAAATGCACCTGGGACACCCCAAAATGCACCTGGGGACATCCAAAATCCACGTGGGGAGCTTCAAAATCCATGTGGGAACCCCCAAAATGCACCTGGGGACATCCAAAATGCACCCGGGGACCCCAAAATGCGCCTCGGGAGCGTCAAAATCCATGTGGGGAGCCCCAAAATCCACCTGGGAACCTCCAAAATGCATCTGGGGAGCCCAGAATGCACCTGGGAACATCCAAAATCCATGTGGGGAGCCCCAAAATGCACCTGGGGACTTCCTAAAATGCACCTGGGAACATCTGGGGCGCTTCAAAATCCATGTGGGGAGCCCCAAAATGCACCTGGGACTTCCTAAAATGCACCTGGGAACATCCAAAATCCATGTGGGGAGCCCCAAAATGCACCTGGGACTTCCTAAAATGCACCTGGGAACATCCAAAATCCATGTGGGGAGCCCCAAAATGCACCTGGGACTTCCTAAAATGCACCTGGGAACATCCAAAATCCATGTGGGGAGCCCAAAATGCACCTGGGGACCTTTAAAACACACATAGGGACACCCAAAATGCACCTGGGGAGCTTGAAAATCCATGTGGGGAGCCCCAAAATGCACCTGGGGACTTCCTAAAATGCACCTGGCGAGCCCCAAATAGACCTGGGAATGGCCAAAATGCACCTGGGGAGCTTCAAAACGCACCTGGGGAGCTTCAAAACGCACCTGGGGACCCCCAAAATCTACCTGGGAACCCCCAAAATGCCCCTGGGGACCTTTAAAATGCACCTGGGACTTCCTAAAATGCACCTGGGAACCCCCAAAATCCACTTGGGGACCCCCAAAATGCACCTGGGCATCCCAAAACCCACCTGGGGACCCCCCCAAATCCACCTGGCATCCCCAAAATGCACCTGAGGACCCCAAAACTGCACCAGAACCCCCCCCAAATCCCCTCAGGATGCCCCAAAATCCTCCCGGGACCCCCCCCAAACCGCCCCTCCCCCCCCCTCTGACCCCCCCTTTTCTCCCCCCCCACAGAGAAGCAGCCGCTGCCCCCCTCCCCCACCCCCCCGGCCATGGTGAGTCCTGACCCCCCCGGGGGCCATTTTTGGGGCCATTTTGGGGCCATTTTGGGCCATTTTGGGGTCATTTGGGGGGGTCCTCACCCCCACTGACCCTCCCTGTGCCCCCCCAGAGCGTCGGGGGAGCCTCCCCAGGACCCCCAACCCTGAGGGGTGAGTGGGGAGGGGGGTCCTGACCCATTTTTGGGGGGTTCTGCCCCATATTGGGGGGGGTTCTGTCCCATTTTGGGGGGTCCCTGCCCCATTTTTTGGGGGGTTTCTGTCCCATTTTGGGGGGGTTCTGTCCCATTTTGGGGGGGTCCTGACCCATTTTGGGGGGGTTCTGTCCCATTTTGGGGGGTCCTGACCCATTTTGGGGGGTTCTGCCCCATTTTGGGGGGGTTCTGTCCCATTTTGGGGGGGTTCTGTCCCATTTTGGGGGGGTTCAGTCCCATTTTGGGGGGTTCTGTCCCATTTTGGGGGGTTCTGCCCCATTTTGGGGGGTCCCTGTCCCCATTTTGGGGGGGTTCAGTCCCATTTTGGGGGGTCCTGCCCCATTTTGGGGGGTTCTGCCCCATTTTTGGGGGGTTCTGTCCCATTTTGGGGGGGTTCTGCCCTATTAAGGGGGCTTAGGGAGGGCCCAGAAGGGAATTTGGGGGGAAATTTGGGGGGTTCCGGGGTGATTTTGGGGTCTTTGGGGTCCCTGGGAGGATTTTGGGGTCTTTGGGTCAGGTTTGGGGTCTCTGGGAGGTATTTTGGGGTTTCTGGGGTGGTTTTGGGGTATCTGGGGGGGGAATTGGGGTCTCTGGGTGGTTTGGGTGGGAATTTTGGGGTCTCTGGGATGGTTTTTGGGGGGGATTTTGGGGTCCCTGGGAGGATTTTGAGGTCTTTGGGGCAGGTTTGGGGTCTCTGGGGGGGATTTGGGGGGGATTTTGGGGTCTCTGGGTGGTTTGGGTGGGGATTTTGGGCTCTTTGGGGCAGGTTTGGGGTCTCTGGGGGAAAATTTGGAGTTTCTGGGGTGGTTTTGGGTCTTTGGGGGGGGTCTCTGGGGGCAATTTTGGGGTCTCTGGGGGGAATTTGGGGGTTTCTGGGTGGTTTGGGTGGGCATTTTGGGGTCTCTGGGGAGGCATTTTGGGGTCTCTGGGTGGTTTGGGTGGGGATTTTGGGGTCTTTTGGGCAGGTTTGGGGTCTCTGGGGGGAATTTTAGGGGTCTCTGGGTGGTTTTGGGGGGGAATTTTGGGGTTTCTGGGTGGTTTGGGGGGAAATTTTGGGGTCTCTGGGGGGGATTTTTGGGTTTCTGGGGTGGTTTTGGGGTGTTTTGGGGTATCTGGGGGGGATTTGGGGATCTTTGGGGTTTCTGGGGTGGTTTTGGGGCAGGTTTGGGGTATCTGGGGGGGATTTTGGGGTCTCTGGGGGGAAATTTTGGGGTCTCTGGGTGGTTTGGGTGGGGATTTTGGCGTCTCTGGGGGGGATTTTTGAGGTTTCTGGGGTGGTTTTGGGGTCTCTGGGGAGAAATTTTGGGGTCTCTGGGTGGGAATTTTGGGGTGGAATTTTGGGGTCTTTTGGGGTCTTTTGGGGGTTCTCCCCATAACGGGGTGGAGTGGGGGGGTCCCCATAACGATTTTTTCCCCCCCTTCCAGGCCCCCCCATCCCGGCCGTGCCCATCCCCAACCCCGACATCACCCCCAGCCGGTACCGGGGGCTGCCCAGCCCCCCCCTCGGGCCCCTCCCCCACCTCGGGCCCCTCCCCCACCTCGGGACCCCCCCCCGGCGAGCACAAAAAGGGGGGGAGGGGGCGCAAGAAAATCTCCAAGGCCGATATTGGGGTCCCCTCCGGCTTCAAGTGGGTCTGGGGGGGTCTGGGGGGGGTTTTGGGGCTGGGGGCTTGGAGGGGTTTGGGGTGGGGGGGGGGGTTTGGGGGGGGGTTTGGGGGTCTCTGGGATTTGAGGTGGGGGGGATTTGGGGTCTCTGGGAGGGATTTTGGGGCTGGGGGAATTTTGGGGCTGTGGGGGTTGGGGTTTTGGGGGGGTTTTGGGGGGGGTTTGGGGGCTTTGGGAGGGATTTGGGGGGCTGGGGGATTTGGGGTCTCTGGGGGGGATTTTGGGGCTGGGGGAATTTGGGTTCTGAGAGGGATTTTGGGGTCTCTGGGGGGGATTTTGGGGCTGGGGGATTTGGGATCTCTGGGGGGGATTTTGGGGTCTCTGGGGCGGATTTTGGGGCTGGGGGATTTGGGGTCTCTGGGGGGGGATTTTGGGGCTGGGGGATTTGGGGGCTGTGGGGTTGGGGTTTTGGGGGGTTTTGGGGGCTTTGGGAGGGATTTGGGGCTGGGGGGATTTGGGGCTGTGGGGTTGGGGTTTTGGGGGGGTTTTGGGGGGGGTTTGGGGGGTTTGGGAGGGATTTGGGAGGGATTTGGGGCTGGGGGGATTTGGGGGCTGTGGGGGTTGGGGTTTTGGGGGAGGTTTGGGGGGATTTGGGGTTTTGGGGGGGGTCTCCAGGGGGGTTTTGGGGTCTGTGGGGTTCAGGGGGGAGGGGTCTCACCTCTGTCCCCTCCCCTCCCCCCCAGGCACGTCAGTCACGTCGGGTGGGACCCCAGTGGTGGCTTTTGATGTAGGTGACACCCCCGGGCCGTGTCCCCCCCCCGTGTGTCCCCCCCCCATGGTTGGTGACGCTGACCCTGGGGGTGACACTGAGCCCTCAGTGTGTGGCACTGATCCCTCAGTGTGGCACTGACCCAGCTGGGGTCCCTATGGGGTGGACATTGACCCCTCAGTGTGTGACACTGACCCCTCAGCGTGTCCCTGTCCCTGTCCCCATCCCCGTCCCTGTCCCCGTCCCTGTCCCCGTCCTTGTCCCCATCCCTGTCCCTGTCCCCGTTTCCTGTCCCTGTCCCCATCCCTGTCCCTTGTCCCTGTCCCTGTCCCCGTCCCCTGTCCCCATCCCTGTCCCTTGTCCCTGTCCTTGTCCCTCTCCCTGTCCCCGTCCTTGTCCCCATCCCCGTCCCCGTCCCTGTCCCTGTCCCCATCCCTGTCCCCTGTCCCTGTCCCTTGTCCCTGTCCCTGTCCCTGTCCCCAGCTGACCACCCTGGACTCTACCCTGTGGTCACTCCTGTCCCATGGGGTGACAGTGACCTGGGGGGGTGTGACACTGACCCCTCAATGTGACACTGACCCCTCAGCATGTGACACTGACCCCTCAATGTGTGGCACTGACCCCTCAGTGTGTCCCTGTCCCTGTCCCAGCTGGCAGCTGGGGTCCCCATGGGGTGACACTGACCCCTCAATGTGTGTCACTGACCCTTCAGCGTGTCCCTGTCCCTGTCCCCATCCCTGTCCCTTGTCCCTGTCCCAGCTGGCAGCTGGGGTCCCCATGGGGTGACACTGACCCTTCAGTGTGTGTCACTGACTCCCTCAGCGTGTCCCTGTCCCTGTCCCCTGTCCCTGTCCCTTGTCCCTGTCCCAGCTGGCAACTGGGGTCCCCCATGGGGTGTCACTGACCCCTCAATGTGTGTCACTGACCCCTCAATGTGTGTCACTGACCCCTCAGTGTGTGGCACTGACCCCTCAATGTGTGTCACTGACCCCTCAGCGTGTCCCTGTCCCATCTGGGTCCCCATGGGGTGACACTGACCCCTCAGTGTGACACTGACCCCCTCAATGTGTGTCACTGACCCCTCAATGTGTGTCCCTGTCCCTTGTCCCTGTCCCCTGTCCCTGTCCCTGTCCCCGTCCCCAGCTGGCAGCTGGGGTCCCCATGGGGTGACACTGACCCCTCAATGTGTGTCCCTGTCCCTGTCCCTGTCCCCAGCTGGCAGCTGGGGTCCCCATGGGGTGTCACTGACCCCTCAGTGTGTGTCACTGACCCCTCAATGTGTGTCCCTGTCCCTGTCCCCAGCTGGCCGCCCTGGACCCCGCCCTGCGCTCGCTCTTCGCCCAGGCCGGGGTCAGCGAGCGCCACTTGGCCGACGCCGAGACCTCGCGGCTGATCCACGACTTCATCGAGCGCCAGGGGGGGCTGCAGGCCGTGCGCGAGGAGATGGGCAGGCAGGGTGGGCACACACCTGGGGACACACCTGGGCACACCTGGGGACAGTTGGGAACACCTGGGAGGGACCTGGGGACAGCTGGGGACAGCTGGGGACACACCTGGGCACACCTGGGCACGCCTGGGGACAGCTGGGAGGGACCTGGACATGGCCATGGGGCACCTGGCACACCTGGGGGCACCTGGCAGGGACCTGAGCACAGCCATGGGCACCTGGCACAGCTGGGGACACACCTGGGGACACCTGGGGACAGCTGGGAGGGACCTGGGAGGGACACGGAGACACCTGGGGGTACCTGGGCACACCTGGGATGGGGCTGAGGCACCTGGGGGCACCTGGGCACATCTGGGAGGCACCTGGGGACACTTGAGGACACCTGGGGACACCTGGACAGGACCTGGGCACACCTGGGGGGAACCTGGGCACACCTGGGAGGCACCTGGGGACACCTGGACAGGACTTGGGGACACCTGGGGGGAACCTGGGCACACCTGGGGGCACCAAGGCACAACTGGGAGGCACCTGGGGACACCTGGACAGGACTTGGGGACACCTGGGCACACCTGGGGGGAACCTGGGGACACCTGGGGACACCTGGGGGGTGGGGGCTGGGCACACCTGGGGGGCACCTGGGGACCCCTCCGAGGGTCTCCGTGCCCCCCCTGTGCCCCCTCTGACCCCGCCCCCTTCTCTCTCTCTCCCCTCCCCCAGGGCCGCCCCCTCCCCCCCCCGGGCCGCGGCAGCCCCGCCCCCCCCTCCCCCCGCCCCCCTCCCCCCTCCTCCGGCCGCTCCCGCTCGGGGCTCCCGGCCCCTCCCCCACCCCGCGCCGGCCCCCGCCCCTCCCCCTGCCCCGCCCCCTCCGCGAGGCCCCGCCCCCTCCCCCCGCGAGGCTCCGCCCCCCTCCGGAGCGGCCGCTCCTCCCCCTCCCCCTCCTCCGCCGCCCCCTCCCCCCTCCGGGGGCGCCCCCCCCGCGACCCCCCCCGGGCCGGGGGGCGCTGCTGGACCAGATCCGCCAGGGGGGTGACGCTCAACAAGGTGGGGACCCCAAAAACGGGGGCGTGGGGACCCCAAAAACGGGGGGTGGGAGACCAAAATTGGGGGGGGTGGGAGCCTAAAAATGGGGGGGGGGAAACTCAAAAAACGGGGGGGTGGGAGTCTAAAAATGGGGGGGGACCCCCCAAAAAGGAGGGTAGGACCCCCCCAAAAAAGGGATGGGACCCCAAAATGGGGGGGTGGGATGCTCTGTGAGGGGGGAGGGGGCTCCAAGGGGGGCTCCCGTGACCTATGGGGGACCCCATGGGATGGGGGAGGGGCTGTTCCATGCCCGTTTTTTTGGGTGGGGTGGTCCTGTTATCATTTCTTGGGGGGGGGGGGTCCTGCCTGAGCTCTCCCCGTGCCCCCCCTCCCCTTCCAGACCCCTGAGACCCCCGAGGTGGGCGCGGGTCCCGGCGCTGGGGGGCTCGTGGGGGCCCTGATGGACGTGATGCAGAAACGAAGCCGCGTCATCCATTCCTCGGGTGAGACCCCTCCCCAAAAAACCCCCCCGAAACCCCCAAAACCCCCCCCAAAAACCCCCCTGACCCCCCATTTTTCACCCTCCCCAGATGAAGGCACGGCCAGCGAGGAGGAGGAAGATGATGATGAATGGGACGATTGAGACCCCTCCCCATCCCCCTCTCCCCCCCCCGCTTCTAAGGACGCCCCCAGACCCAAAATGTGCCCCCCCCCACCCCTCCCCCACCCCGTCTGTGCCCCTCCCCCAGCTCGGGGGGGGGAGGGGCCCCGGTTTTTCCTCCCCCCCCCCCCCCCCTTTTCCATCCCATCCCAATTTCCCCCACCCCAACCCCCGCAGGTACCAAATAAACGCAGGAGTCACGTGACCAGTCGCCTCGTTAATTAATTAATTACCGTTTAATGAGCCCGGCTCGAGGAGGGGAAGCGGGAATGGAGCGGCTCGGGGAGAGGCTCCCAGGGAATCCCGGCGCTTCCCCGCGGCTCCAAACCAGGAAAACCGCGGGGAAAATGGGGAAAAAACGGCGGAATTCGGGATCGGCGCCGGGCGCGGGGGATGCCGGGAGCGGTATGCAAATGAGACAGCGCCGCGGCCAATGGAAATCGCTCAATTCGGGCTAGTATGTAAATGAGGCCTCGCGGGTGCTGCTGGGAGTGATATGCAAATCTACCCACGGGGCGACCAATGGCGGGATCAGATATTATGCAAATGAAGCGGCGCGGCGACCAATAGAGGACGGGCGGGTAGCTGTCAGTATGCAAATAAATCACGTCGCCAGCCAATGGAAGGCGAGCAGCCAGCTGTCAGTATGCAAATCGGCTTTAGATTCAGCCAATAGACGCTGGGCGCGGGCGGAGGAAGCCCCGCCCCTCGCGCTGCCCGCCGGGCGGAAGCGTCGCCAGAAAAAAAAAGGGAAAAGGCGGAAAAAGACAAAAAAAAAAAGCGGCGGCGGCTGAAAATGGCGGAAAATTTAAAAGGTGGCGCGAGCGGGGCGGGCCCGAGGGGTCTCCGAGGGAGCGTGAGGGGGAAATCAGGGGCGGGGGGGGGGCTCTGAGGGGACGGCGCCGCTTCCCGCGCGCGGCCGTTGGCGCCTGAGGGGGACGGGGGAGGGAAAAGTGGCGGGAACGCGCTGAGGGGGGGGAGGGGGAGCGTGTGAGGGGACGGGGGGGGGGGGCGCTGTCCTGTCCCCAAATTCCGCCCCCCCAGTGTCCCCTCACCCACCCGGTGTCCACCCCCCCGGAGTGCCCCGTGTCGTCGCTGTCGTGTGGTCGCGACAGAGCGAGCGGTGTGGGCGGGCCCGGGGTGGGGGGAGGCTGTGTGAGGTAGGGGGGGGGGGCTGTGGTGTCACCTGTCCCCCTCACGGCCCCCGGCCGCCGTGTGTCCCCTCCCCTCGGTGACACCTGCAAGGGTGCTCCATGTGCTGCCTGTCGCGACAGAGCGAGCGGTGCAGGAGGGTCTGGGGGAGCTGTGTGAGGTTGGGGGGGGGGTCTGCGGTGTCACCTGTCCCCCTCACGTTGTCCCCCGGTGTGTCCCCACCCTTCGGTGACACCCGCAGGGTGCTCCGTGTGCTGCCTGTCGCGACAGAGCGAGCGGTGCGGGCTGGTCAGGGCAGGGTTGGGCGGGCCCGGGGGGGGGTCTGTGGTGTCACCTGTCCCCTCACGTTGTCCCCCGGTGTGTCCCCCACCCCTCGGTGACACCCGCAGAGTGCTCCGTGTGCTGCCTGTCGCCGTGGTCGCAGCTGCAGGAGCTGTGCCGGCTGCAGCGCGTGCGGTGCCGCGCCCTCGGCGTCACCCGCCGCAACCTCGCCGACTTCGAGGTGGAGCTGCTGTGCGACTACCGGAGAGTGGCGGGTGAGGGCCGCGGGGACCCCCGAACCGGGACCCACTGAACCGGGACCCCACAGAGAGCAGGGCCCCCCGAACTGGGACCCCCCCGAACTGGGACCCCACAGACAGCAGGACCCCCGAAACTGGGACCCCCCTAACTGGGACCCCACAGACAGCAGGGCCCTTGAACTGGGATCCCACAGAGAGCAGGACCCCCGAACTGGGACCCCCAAACAGGGACCCCACAGAGACCAGGACCCCCTGAACCGGGACCCCCCCAAACCGGGGGCCCCACAGACAGCAGGACCCCCAAACTGAGACCCCTGAATGAGGCCCCCAGACAGCAGGACCCCCAAACTGGGAGCCCCGAACTGAGACCCCACAGAGAGCAGGACCCCCGAACCGGGACCCCCACAGACGCCAGGAACTCACCCAGGGCTCCCTAACTGGGACCCCCCCCACAGACACCAGGAACCCGTCAGGGACCCCCAAACCACGACCCCTGAATTAGGAACTGACCTGGGAACCCCAAACTGGGAAGTGACCCCCTAAGAACCTCTGACCCTGTCAGGCCCCAAAGGGTCCCTGGACATTGGGGTCACTCCAGGACTGTCCTGACCTTGTGAGACCCCAAAGAATCCCCACTCTGGGGTCACTCCAGGACCCCCGAGATCTCAGGAGACCCTCAGAGTCCCTCATGTTCCTGGCTCCCTCCTGGCCTTGTAAGACCCCCAAAGAATCCCCACACTGGGGTCACTCCAGAATTCCCCAGACCCCCTGGGTGCCCCCAAACCCTGAACTCCCCCAGATTCCTGTGTCCTTCCTGACCCTGCAAGACCCCAGGAGTCTCCAGACATTGGGGTGTCTCCAGAACCCCCCTGACCCTATTAGGCCCTACAGGACCCCCACACTGGGGTCACTCCAGGACCCCTGAGGACCTTATGAGACCCCACAGTGTCTCTGGACATTGGGGTCACTCCAGGGACCCCCCAGACCTCATGAGACCCTTGGACTCCCCCCATGTTCCCGTGTCCTTCCTGACCCTGTGAGACCCCACAGTGTCTCCAGCCATTGGGGTCACTCCAGGACCCCCAAGGTCTCATAAGACCCTCGGACTCCCCCATGTTCCCGTGTCCTTCCTGACCCTGTGAGACCCCACAGTGTCTCCAGCCATTGGGGTCACTCCAGGACCCCCAAGGTCTCATGAGACCCTCAGACTCCCCAATGTTCCTGTGTCCTTCCTGACCCTGTGAGACCCCACAGTGTCTCCAGACATTGGGGTCTCTCCAGAACCCCCCTGACCCTATTAGGCCCTACAGGACCCCCACACTGGGGTCACTCCAGGACCCCTGAGACCTTATGAGACCCCACAGTGTCTCTGGACATTGGGGGTCACTCCAGGACCCCCAGACCTCATGAGACCCTTGGACTCCCCCATGTTCCCGTGTCCTTCCTGACCCTGTGAGACCCCAGGAGTCTCCAGACATTGGGGTCACTCCAGAACCTTCCGAGTCCCCCCAGGGGGGATCCCCACAGCCCACCCCCGTACCCCTAACCCCCCATTATCCCCCCCAACCCAGGACGAGGAGTTCTACCTGGTGAAGTGGCGCGGTTACCCCTCCACTGCCAACACCTGGGAGCCGCGCCGCAACCTGCGCTGCCGGGGGCTGCTGCAGCAGCTGCACGCCGACCTGGCCCGAGCGCCGGGCGGGCCGGTGCGGCCGGGGCCCCGCGGGCTCCCCGCCCGCGCCGTGTCCTACCTGGCGCAGAAGGCGGAGCAGCGGCGGGCGCTGCGGCGCTGGGAGCGCCACCTGAACCGCAACGCGCAGCCACCGCGGCCGCATCGCCGTGGAGAACGAGGTGGACCTGCACGGGCCGCCCCGCGACTTCGTCTACGTCAACGAGTACAAGGTGGGCGCGGGCGTGGCGCTGACCCCCGTGGCGGCCGGCTGCGAGTGCCGGGACTGCCTGGCCGAGGCCACGCTGGCCGGGGGCTGCTGCCCGGGCGCCCTCGCGCAACAGGTTCGCCTACAACGAGGCCGGGCAGGTGCGGATCCGGGCGGGGCTGCCCATCTACGAGTGCAACTCGCGCTGCCCGCTGCGGCGCCGAGTGCCCCAACCGCGTGGTGCAGCGCGGCATCCGCTACGACCTGTGCATCTTCCGCACCGGCGACGGGCGCGGGCTGGGGCGTGCGCACGCTGCAGCGCATCCGCAAGAACTCCTTCGTCATGGAGTACGTGGGAGAGGTGAGCTCAGGTGTGATACAGTGTGATACAGGGGTGTGTGACACAGGACAGGTGTGTGTGACACAGGACAGGTGTGATACAGGTGTGTGTGCACAGTACAGGTGTGTGTGACACAGTACAGGTGTGATACAGGGGTGTGTGACAGGTGTGACACAGTACAGGTGTGTGTGATAGGGCTGGGGTGTGCGCACGCTGCAGCGCATCCGCAAGAACTCCTTCGTCATGGAGTACGTGGGAGAGGTGAGCGTCACAGGTGGGACAGGTGTGGGACAGGTGTGTGTGACAGTACAGGTGTGATACAGGGGTGTGTGACAGGTGTGGCACAGTACAGGTGTGTGTGACACAGGACAGGTGTGTGTGACACAGGACAGGTCTGTGATACAGGTGTGACAGTACAGGTGTGATACAGGTGTGTGGGACAGGTGTGACACAGGACAGGGTGTGTGTGACACAGGACAGGTGTGTGGGACAGGTGTGACACAGGACAGGTGTGTGTGACACAGGACAGGTCTGTGATACAGGTGTGTGTGCACAGTACAGGTGTGTGTGACACAGTACAGGTGTGTGAGACAGGTGTGACAGTACAGGTGTGATACAGGTGTGTGTGACATAGTACAGGTGTGATACAGGTGTGTGCACAGTACAGGTGTGTGTGACACTGTACAGGTGTGATACAGGTGTGTGTGACAGTACAGGTGTGTGTGACAGGTGTGACAGTACAGGTGTGGGACAGGTGTGTGTGACACTGTACAGGTGTGATACAGAGGTGTGTGACAGGTGTGGCACAGTACAGGTGTGTGTGACAGGGCTGGGGCGTGCGCACGCTGCAGCGCATCCGCAAGAATTCCTTCGTCATGGAGTACGTGGGAGAGGTGAGCGCCACACGTGTGGGACAGGTGTGTGTGACAGTACAGGTGTGTGGGACAGGTGTGACACAGTACAGGTGTGATACAGGGGTGTGTGACACAGGACAGGTGTGGGACAGGTGTGACACAGTTCAGGTGTGCCCCAGGTATGTGGGGTGGATCAGGTGTGTGCCATGTGGGTCCCCCAGGTGTGTGCCAGGTGTGACACGGTGCAGGTGTGAGAAGGTACAGGTGTGCCCAGGTGTGTGCCAGGTGTGGTTCAGGTGTTCCCCAGGTGTGTGCCAGGTGTGTGCCAGGTGTGCCCAGGTGTGTGACAGGTGTGGTTCAGGTGTGTGACAGGTGTGTGGGGTGGTTCAGATGTTCCCCAGGTGTGTGACAGGTGTGGTTCAGGTGTGGGGTGGTTCAGGTGTGCCCCAGGTGTGTGCCAGGTGTGGTTCAGGTGTGGTTCAGGTGTGTGACAGGTGTGTCCCTGTCCCAGATCATCACCTCGGAGGAGGCGGAGCGCCGGGGACAGGTGTACGACCGCCAGGGGCGCCACGTACCTGTTCGACCTGGACTACGTGGAGGACGTGTACACCGTGGACGCCGCCCACTACGGCAACATCTCGCACTTCGTCAACCACAGCGTGAGTGCGGCCTACCTGGGCTCAGGTGTGGCCTTACCTGGGCTTGGGGTGGGCTTATCTGGGCTCAGGTGTGGATTTAACCTGCCCACAGGTATGGGTTTAACCTGCCCAAAGGTGTGGGATTACCTGGGCTCAGGTGTGGTTTACCTGCCCACAGGTGTGGGTTTAACCTGCCCAAATGTGTGGTTTACCTGGGCACAGGTGTGGGTTTAACCTGCCCACAGGTGTGGTTTACCTGCGTTCAGGTGTGGGTTTAACCTGCCCACAGGTGTGGTTTACCTGGGCTCAGGTGTGGTTTATCTGCCCACAGATGGGGCCTTACCTGTCTTGTGGGTGGAGCTTCCAGCACCTTTTCCCCCAGCTGTGGGCGGGGGCTCACCTGTGTGGGTGTGTCTCACCTGGTTGGGTGGCTCAGGTGCTGTGGGTGTGGCTCACCTGGTTGGGTGTGTCTCACGTGGTTGGGTGTGTCAGGTGCTGTGGGCGGGGCTCACCTGGTTGGCTGTGTCTCACCTGTGTGGGTGTGTCAGGTGCTGTGGGCGGGGCTCACCTGCCGGGTGTGTCTCACCTGGTTGGGTGTGTCAGGTGCTGTGGGTGGGGCTCACCTGGTTGGGTGTGTCAGGTGCTGTGGGCGGGGCTCACCTGCCGGGTGTGTCTCACCTGGTTGGGTGTGCCACGTGCTGTGGGCGGGGCTCACCTGTTGGGGCGTGGCTCACCTGTTGGGGCGGGGCAGTGTGACCCCAACCTGCAGGTGTACAACGTGTTCATCGAGAACCTGGACCAGCGGCTGCCGCGCATCGCCCTGTTCGCAACCAGGCCCATCCGGGCCGGGGAGGAGCTCACCTTCGACTACAACATGCACGGTACCTGACACACACCTGGCACACACCTGTACCTGTCACACACCTGTCACAGACCTGTCCTTATCTGTCACACTTGTCACACACCTGTCACATGTCACACACCTGTCAGACCTCTCTATGGTCACACCTGTACCTGTCACACCTGTCCATGTCACACACCTGTCTTGCACAGACCTCCCTCCCCTCAGCCCATCCTGCACTATGGGGTCAGGGGAGGGGTCAGGATCACACCTGGAGGCTCTCAGGTGTTCGGGGCGGGGGGCGGTCAGGCAGGGCCACACCTGGGGAGGGTCCCTGTGGTGTTTTGGGGGTTCAGGTGTTTTGGGGGCTGTACCTGGGGGGTTCCTGCCCACACCTGGGTGGGTCCTGGTCACACCTGGGGCATCCTGGTCACACCTGGGTGGGTCCCAGGCTGTACCTGGGTGGGTCCTGGTCACACCTGGGTGGGTCCTGGCCACACCTGGGGCATCCTGGTCACACCTGGGTGGGTCCCAGGCTGTACCTGGGTGGGTCCTGGTCACACCTGGGTGGGTCCTGGTCACACCTGGGTGGGTCCTGGCCACACCTGGGTGGGTCCTGGTCACACCTGGGTGGGTCCCAGGCTGTACCTGGGTGGGTCCTCGTCACACCTGGGGGGTTCCTGGCCACACCTGGGTGGGTCCTGGCCATACCTGGGTGGTTCCTGGTCACACCTGGGCGGGTCCTGATCACACCTGGGGGGTTCCTGGCCACACCTGGCAGGTTCCTGGCCACACCTGGGTGGGTCCTGGTCACACCTGGGTGGGTCCTGGTCACACCTGGGTGGGTCCCAGGCTGTATCTGGGGCATCCTGGTCACACCTCGGTGGTACCTGAGCACACCTGGGGGGTTCCTGGCCACACCTGGGTGGGTCCTGGCCACACCTGGGCGGTACCTGAGCACACCTGGGTGGTACCTGAGCACACCTGGGGGGTTCCTGGCCACACCTGGGCGGTACCTGAGCACACCTGGGTGGTACCTGAGCACACCTGGGCGGTACCTGAGCACACCTGGGCGGTACCTGAGCGCACCTTTCCCCGCAGTGGACCCCGTGGACGCCGAGAGCACCCGCATGGACTCCAACTTTGGGCTGGTGGGGGGGTCCCTGGGGGGCTCCCCCCGCGCCCGCGGCCGCATCGAGTGCAAGTGCGGGGCGGCCTCGTGCCGCAAGTACCTGTTCTGAAACACCTGGGCCACCGCTGGCCACACCCACCGCACACCTGGGCCACGCCTCCACTGCCGCCCGCAGCGCCCGGGGCGGGGAATGGGGGGGCTGAGGGGATTTGGGGGATCCAGGTGGGGTTTGGGGGATCCAGGTGGGGGTTTGGGGGGTCCAGGTGTGCTGTGAGTGCCACACGACGACAACACCTGTGCAGTTGTTGAAGGGGGAATTTTGGGGTGGTCCAGGTGGAGTTTTGGGGCTCCAGGTGAGGTTTGGAGGGTCCAGGTGGGGTTTGGGGGGTCCAGGTGGAGTTTGGGGGGCTCCAGGTGTGTTTGGGGGGCTCCAGGTGTGTTTTGGAGGGTCCAGGTGTGTTTTGGGGGGCTCCAGGTGTGCTGGGGATGCCATGAGGTCCCACTGGGGCAGTTTTGGGGTGGTCCCGGGGGGATTTGGGGATTTTTATGGGGGTTTGTGGATTTTGGGGAGGTTTTGGGGGTCACACGGCGCCACCAAATGTGTCACACTTCAATAACCAGACCGGGAGGATCAAGGGGAATTTTGGGGGAGTTTTAGGTTATTTGGGGAAAAATTTTGGGGTGGTTTTGGGGAAGATTTTGGTGCTGCACTTGAACACCAGGCAGGGGCGTTTTGGGGGAGTTTTGGGGGATTTTTGGGAAGATTCCAAGGGTGGGGGTTTGGGAGATTTTGGAGAAGGTCTGGAGTGATTTTGGGAAGGATTTTGGGGTGTTTTGGGCAGGATTTTGGGGTGTTTTGGGCAGGATTCTGGGGGTGTGGGCAGGATTTTGGGGTGTTTTGGGCAGGATTCTGGGGGTGTTTTGGGTAGGATTTTCGGGGTGTTTTGGGGTGGTTTTGGGCAGGATTTTGGGGTATTTTGAGCAGGATTTTGGGGTGTTTTAGGTAGGATTCTAGGGGTGGTTTTGGGCAGGATTTTGAGGCATTTTGGGCAGGATTTTGGGGTGTTTTGGGTAGGATTCTGGGGGTGTTTTGGGATGGTATTGGGCAGGATTTAGAGGTGGTTTGGGCTGGATTTTGGGGGTGTTTTGGGCAGGATTTTGGGGTGTTTTGGGTAGGATTTTAGGGGTGTTTTGGGGGGGGTTTGGGCAGGATTTTGGGAAGTATTTTGAAGTGTTTTGTGCAGGATATTGGAGGCTTTTGGGCTGGTTTTGGGCAGGATTTTGGAGTGTTTTGGGCAGGATTTTAGGGGTGGTTTTGGGCAGGATTTAGAAATGGTCTGGGTTCGATTTTGGGGTGGTTTAGGGCAGGATTTTGGGAGTGTTTTGGGCAGAGATTTTGGGGCATTCTGGGGCTGTTTTGTTGCCGCACACCACTCTCAAAACTCTCCGCGCTGCGAGACCACACCGCTGCATTTCGGGGCGGTTTTTGGGGGGGCGTTTCCGGGGGTATTTCCAGGCGGATCTGGGCCTTTCCCTGGGGTTTTGGGGGCGGCTCAGGCGTGCTGGCGGCGCCAGACGATGACGGTGCCGGCGGCGTCCCCCGAGGCCAGCAGGGACTCGTCGCAGTTGAAGGCCACGGCCAGCACGGGCGCCCCGTGGCCCTGCAGGGTGTTCACCGTGGCGCGCGCGGCGCGGCCCACGTCGAAAAAGTGCACGGAGGCGTCCTCGCTGCCCGTCACTGCGGGGACATGGGGACATTGGGACATTGGGGACATTGGGGTAAGGGATGTGATCCCATTGACCCCCTCGCTGCCCGTCACTGTGGGGACATGGGGGACATTGGGGACATCAGGGGCATTGGGGACATCGGGGACATTGGGGTAAGGGATGTGATCCCATTGACCCCCTCGCTGCCCGTCACTGTGGGGACATTGGGGACGTTGGGGACATCGGGGGCATTGGGGACATTGGGGGCATTGGGGTGATTTGCAACATCAGGGACATCAGGGGCATTGGGGACATCGGGGACATTGGGGACATCAGGGTGATTTGGGACATCGGGGGACATTGGGGGCATTGGGGACATGGGGGTGATTTGGGACATCGGGGGCATTGGGGACACTGGGGGCATTGGGGATATTGGGGATATCAGGGACATCGGGGACATTGGGGACAGGGGTAAGGGATGTGATCCCATTGACTCCCTTGCTGCCCGTCACTGCGGGGACATGGGGACATTGGGGACACTGGGGACATCAGGGGCATTGGGGACATCGGGGGCATTGGGGTGATTTGGGACATCAGGGACATCAAGGGCATTGGGGACATTGGGGACATCAGGGTGATTTGGGACATCGGGGGACATTGGGGGCATTGGGGACATGGGGGTGATTTGGGACATCAGGGGCATTGGGGAACATCAGGGACATTGGGGTGATTTGGGACATTGGGGACATCAGGGGCATTGGGGACAGGGATAAGGGATGTGATCCCATTGACACGCCTCGCTGCCCATCACTGCAGGGACATTGGGGACACTGGGGACATCGGGGACATTGGGGATATCGGGGCATTGGGGACATTGGGGACATCAGGGATATGGGGACATTGGGGACATCAGGGGCACTGGGGACAGGGCTGGGCAGTGCCATCCCATTGCCCCCCTCATTGGCCTGACATTGCTGGGGACACTGGGGACACTTGGGACAAGGATAAGGGACCTGATCTCATTAACCCCCTGACTGTGCATCATTGTTGGGGACACTGGGGACACTGGGGACAGGCTCAGGGCTGTGATTTTAGTGGCCCCCTCTGTGCCACCCGTCACTGCCTGGGGACGCTGGGGACGCGCCTGGGGGGTGGCGCCTGTCCCTGCTCCACCCCCGTCCATCCCAGTTTGTCCCAGTCCATTCCCAGTTTGTCCCAGTCCCTCCCAGTTTGTCCCAGTCAATTCCCAGTTTGTCCCAGTCCCTCCCAGTTTGTCCCAGTCAATTCCCAGTTTGTCCCAGTCCCTCCCTGTCCATTCCCAGTCCCTCCCAGCCCATTCCCAGTTTCACCCAGTCTCTCTCAGTCCCTCCCAATTTGTCCCAGTCCATTCCCAGTCCCTCCCAGTCTCTCCCAGTTTGTCCCAGTCCATTCTGTTTTGTCCCAGTTTGTCCCAGTCCATCCCAGTCTCTCCCAGTCCCTCCCAATCCATTCCCAGTTTCACCCACTCCCTCCCAGTCTCTCCCAGTCCCTCCCAGCCCATTCCCAGTTTCACTCAGTCTCTCTCAGTCCCTCCCAATTTGTCCCAGTCCATTCCCAGTCCGTCCCAGTCCCTCCCTGTCCATTCCCAGTCCCTCCCAGTCCCTCCCAGTCCATTCCCAGTCCGTCCCAGTCCGTCCCAGTCCGTCCCAGTCCGTCCCAGTGCTCACCCACGCAGGCTCCCTGCCTGAAGGACATCAGGGGGCAGAAGCAGCTCCTCAGGGGCTGCTCCCGGTGCCGCGTGGGGAAACTGCGCCGGAGCCGCAGCCCCGGGGCCCCCGAGCCGCCCTCGTCCTCCACCACCCTGGGGGCACCAAAAACGGGTCAGAAACACCCAGAAACATCCAAAAAGTCACCCAAAAATCATCCCAAAATCACCCCAAAAATCACCCCAAAAACGCTCCCGAGCCTCCCTTGTCCTCCACCACCCTGGGGAGGGGGAAAAGGGGTCAGAAACACCCAAAATCACCCTAAAATCACCCCAAAATCACCCCAAAAACCCTCATGAGTCCCCCTCATCCTCCACCACCCTGGGGGGACCAAAAAAGGGTCAAAAATACCCAAAAATCCCCCCAAAAACACCCCCAGTGTCCCCCCCTATACTGGAAGAGCAGCAGGCGGTTGGGGCAGGCATTGACGAACAAGGATGGGTCCGGTTCACCCCAAATCCCCCAATTCCCCAAATCCCCCAATGCCCCCACGATGTCCCCAAAGCCCCCTCAATGTCCCCAAAGCCCCCACGATGTCCCCAAAGCCCCCACAATGTCCCCAAAGCCCCCCAGTGTCCCCCCCATACCGGAAGAGCAGCAGGCGGTCGGGGCAGGCATTGACCAACAAGGATGGGTCTGGTTCACCCCAATTCCCCCCAATTCCCCAAATCCCCCAATGCCCCCATGATGTCCCCAATGTCCCCTCAATGTCCCCAAAGCCCCCCCGATGTCCCCAGTGTCCCCAATGTCCCTGTCCCGTACCTGAAGAGCAGCAGGCGGTCGGGGCAGGCGTTCACCAGCAGGGACGGGTCTGGTTCACCCCAAATCCCCCCAATTCCCCAAAGCCCCCCGATATCCCCAATGCCCCCACAATGTCCCCAAAGCCCCCCCGATGTCCCCAATGTCCCCAATGTCCCTGTCCCGTACCTGAAGAGCAGCAGGCGGTCGGGGCAGGCGTTCACCAGCAGGGACGGGTCTGGCGCCTCCCGGCTGGCCCAGGCCCGGGCCGAGAGCGACGTGATGGAGCCACCGGCCTGGACCAGCACCCGCGAGGCCTTGGTCAGCCGGCCTGGGGGGTACAGGGTGTGAGACACCCCCAGAACACTCCCAGTGCCTCCCAGTACCACCCAGTGCTTCCCAGTACAGCCCCAGTACCACCCAGTGCTTCCCAGTACAGCCCCAGTGCTTCCCAGTGCTGCCCCAGTGCCTCCCAGTGCTCCCTGGACCAGCACCCGCGAGGCCTTGGTCAGCCGGCCTGGGGGGGTGCAGGGATGTGGGACACCCCAAAACACTCCCAGTGCTTCCCAGTACAGCCCCAGTGCTGCCCAGTACAGCCCCAGTGCCACCCAGTACAGCCCCAGTGCCTCCCAGTGCCCCCCGGACCAGCACCCATGAGGCCTTGGTCAGCCGGCCTGGGGGGTACAGGGTGTGAGACACCCCCAAAACACTCCCAGTACTGCCCAGTACTGCCCCAGTGCTTCCCAGTGCTGCCCCAGTACCACCCAGTGCCTCCCAGTGCCCCCTGAACCACTTGGTCAGCCGGCCTGGGGGGGTGCAGGGATGTGGGACACCCCCAAAACACTCCCAGTGCCTCCCAGTACAGCCCCAGTGCCTCCCAGTGCCTCCCAGTGCCTCCCAGTACTGCCCAGTGCCCCCCAGTACTGCCCAGTGCCCCCCAGACCAGCACCCGCGAGGCCTTGGTCAGCCGGCCTGGAGGGGGATGCAGGGTGTGAGACCCCCCCAAAACACTCCCAGTGCTGCCCAGTACTGCCCAGTGCCCCCCTGTACCCACCTCCAGTCCCCCCAGTCCCCTTCCAGTCTGTCCCAGTCCCTCCCAGTCCCTCTGTACCCACCCACAATCCCCTCCCAGTCCCTCCCAGTCCCTCCCAGTCCCCCCCATCCCCTCCCAGTCCCGTTACCGGTGCCGGGGTCGCACAGGAACGAGGACACCGAGCCCCGATCGTCCCCGGCCCACAGGACCCGCCCGGGGGCGTCGAAGCAGAGGGCGAGGACCCGCCCGGGGAGGCGCCCGGTGCCGCCCCGAGCCGCCTTCCCTGTGGAGATGTTCACAACACGGACCATGTGCCGGGCACTGCCCACCTGGGGGAGCAAGAAAGGGGCTGGGGGGGCACCCCGGGACCCCCAAAACCTGCCCTAAAATCCCCAATTCTCCCCCAAAATCCACCCCAGTGCCGCCTTCCCCGTGGAGATGTTCACAACACGGACCATGTGCCGGGCACTGCCCACCTGGGGAGGCAAATAATGGGCTGGGGGGCACCCTGGGACCCCCAAAACCCACCCTGAGACCCCAAAACCCATCCTGAGACCCCAAAATCTGCCCCAAGATCCCCAAAATCCACCCCAGTGCCACCTTCCCCGTGGAGATGTTCACAACACGCACCATGTGCCGGGCACTGCCCACCTGGGGGGGCAAGAAATGGGCTGGGGGGCACCCTGGGACCCCCAAAACCCTCCCTGAGACCCCAAAACCTGCCCTAAAATCCCCAATTTCCCCCCAAAATCCACCCCAGTGCCACCTTCCCCATGGAGATGCTCACAACCCGCACCATGTGCCGGGCACTGCCCACCTGGGGGGGCAAGAAATGGGCTGGGGGGGCACCCTGGGACCCCCAAAACCCTCCCTGAGACCCCAAAACCCATCCTGAGACCCCAAAATCTGCCCCAAGATCCCCAAAATTCCTCCCAAGCCGCCTTCCCCACGGAGATGTTCACAACCTGCACCATGTGCCGGGCACTGCCCACCTGGGGGGGCAAAAAAGGGGCTGGGGGGGCACCCTGGGACCCCCAAAACCCTCCCTGAGACCCCAAAATCTTCCCCAAAATCTGCCCCAAGATCCCCAAAATTCCCCCCCTGAGCCACCTTCTTCCCAGTGGAGACACTCACAACCTGCACAAGGGCTGGGTTTGGGGCGATGCTCAGGGGTCTCAGGACGGGGTCTCTGCACTGTGAGTTTTTTGGGGTGTTCTTTGGGATATTTTGGGATGGTTTTGAGGTGTTTTTGGCTCTCTCACCACAGTCAGGTTGCTGGTAAAGGGCTGGAACGCACAGCACAGCAGGGCCGGGTTTGGGGGGGATGTTTGGGGGTCTCTCAGGGCTGTGATATTTTGGGGTATTTTGGGGTGGTTTTGGGGTATTTTAGGACAGTTTTAGGGTTCCTCTCACCACAGTCAGTCAGGTTGTTACTCAGTAGCTGGAACGCACAGCACAGCAGCACAGGGTTGGGTTTGGGGGGAAGTTTGGGGGTCCCAGGAAAGGCTCTCAAGGCTCTGGCATTTCAGGTCAGTTCTGGGGCAGTTTTGGGGTGGTTTTAGGGCATTTCGGGGTTCCTCTCACCACAGTCAGGTTGTTGTTCAGCGGCTGGAACGCGCAGCCCCATAGGGGTCGGGTTTGGGGGGATGTTTGGGGGTCCCAGGAGGGGCTCTCAGGGCTCTGGGGTTTCAGGGTAGTTCTGGGGTATTTTGGGGTATTTTAGGACAGTTTTAGGGTTCCTCTCACCACAGTCAGGTTGTTGTTCAGCGGCTGGAACGCGCAGCACAGCAGCGCGGCCCCGTCGGGGTCGGGCACGCGGCGGATGCAGCGCCCGTCCCCGGGGTCCCAGAGGCGCAGGGTCCCGTCCAGCGAGGTGGACACGAGGACATCGTTGGACAGGGACCAGGCGAAGTCCGAGACGCCGGCGCCGTGGCCGCGGAGGCGCCGCAGCACGGCCGGGGGCCCCGGCGCCAGGCGGCAAACGGAGAGCGTCCCGTCCAGCGAGCAGCACGCCAGCAGGTGGCGCTCGTCGTGGGCAAACTGCACCTTCCGCACTGGGGGGGACGGGAGAGGGTGGGTGAGACCCCTCCCCAAAATTCCCAAAATTCTATAGGGGCAGGAACTCCCCCAGAGCCATGGGGAGACCCCTCCCCAAAATTCCCAAAATTCTACAGGATCAGGAACTTCCCCAGAGCCATGGGGAGACCCCTCCCCAAAATTCTATAGGGGCAGGAACTCCCCCAGAGCCATGGGGAGACCCCTCCCCAAAATTCTATAGGGCCAGGAATTCCTCCAGAGCCATGGGGAGACCCCTCCCCAAAATTCTATAGGGCCAGGAATTCCCCCAGAGCCATGGGGAGGCCCCTCCCCAAAATTCCCAAAATTCTATAGGGGCAGGAATTCCCCCAGAGCCATGGGGAGACCCCTCCCCAAAATTCCCAAAATTCTATAGGGGCAGGAACTCCCCCAGAGCCATGGGGAGACCCCTCCCCAAAATTCTATAGGGCCAGGAATTCCTCCAGAGCCATGGGGAGACCCCTCCCCAAAATTCTATAGGGCCAGGAATTCCCCCAGAGCCATGGGGAGACCCCCAATCCATCCAGCAGGGGGCGCTCGTTGTGGGCAAACTGCACCTTCCGCACTGGGTGGGACCCCTCCCCAAAATTCCCAAAATTCTATAGGGGCAGGAGCTCCCCCAGAACCATGGGGAGACCCCCAATCCATCCAGCAGGGGGCGCTCGTCGTGGGCAAACTGCACCTTCCGCACTGGGGGGGGACAGGAGAGGGTGGGTGAGACCCCTCCCCAAAATTCTATAGGGGCAGGAACTCCTCCAGAACCATAGGGAGACCCCCCCCGCCCCAAAACAAAGGAATCACCCCCAGAGCTGGGGGAGCCCCCAAACAACACCTGAGAACCCCCAGACCGCCCTGAGGCCCCCCAGGGGACACCTGAGCCCCCTCAGACCCCTCCCAGGTGACACCTGAGCCCCCCCAGACCCCTCCCAGGTGACACCTGAGACCCCCCAGACCCCTCCCAGGTGACACCTGAGCCCCCCCGGGTTACCTGCGCTGTCCAGGTGCTGGTCGAACACGTGGAACACCCCAGCAAAGGCGTAGTTCTCACTCAGGGAGGTGTCCCCGGCCATGGCCCGGCTGGCCTCGGCCAGGGGGGTGGGGACAACCCCGGGGGGGCTGTGAAAGTGGGGGGGGGCAGCGTGAGACCCCTCCCCAAATCGATCTGAACCTCCCCGGGACCCCTTGAGCACAACCTGGCACCCCCCCCTGGTTCCCTGCAATGGTTCGGGCCAGGGGAATGGGGACCCTCATGGGGGGGGGGGGTGGGGGTAATGTGAGACCCCCCCCAGGTATCCCCTGACCCCCCCTCAGAACCCTGAGACCCCCCCCAGGTACCCCCTGACCCCCCCTCAGCACCATGAGACCCCCCAGGTACCCCCTGACCCCCCCAGGTATTGATTGGCACCCTCCAAACCCCCCCCATCCCCACAATGGTTTCGCCCACAGCTGCACAGCCCCCCCCCCCCCCCAAAAGGGATGAGGGGAGGGGGAAACACCTTGAGACCCCCCCAAAACATCGAGACCCCCCCCCAAAAGACCCCAGCACCCTCTGAGACCCCTCCCCAACCCCTCCAGGAGCCTGAGACCTCCCCCAGCCCCCCCAAAACCGCCCCCTAAAATGACTCCCCCAGCACCCTGAGATGCCCCAAAAACCCCTAAAATCCACCCAAAATCCACCCAAAATCCCCCAAAATCTCCCCAAAATCCCCCCGGACCCCTCCCCAATCCCCCCCCCGGGGCTCTCACCGCTCGTCAGGGCCCCCCCGCAGCCCCCCCGGGCCGGAGCTGCGGCTCAGGGAGCGCCGGTGGCCCCGGGACCCCCGCGGGTCCTCCTCGAAATCCTGGGGGGGGAGAAGGGTTGGGACCCCCAAAAATGGGGAGGGAAACCCAAAAATGGGGGTGGGAAACCCAAAAATGGGGGAGGGAAACCCAAAAACGGGGGTGGGAAACCCAAAAATGGGGGTGGGAAACCCAAAAATGGGGGTGGGAGACCCAAAAATGGGGGTGGGAAATACAAAAACGGGTGCGGAAACCCAAAAATCTCCCCAAAATTGGTGCTGGGACTCCCTGACCCTCTCCAAAGGAGTTTTGGGATGGTCCAGAGCCCCCCAGGTGTGGCCAGGTGTACCCCAGGTGTGGCCACAGGTGTTCAGGAGTGTCCAAGTGTATTTCAGGTGTACCCCAGGTGTACACAAGTGTGCCCCAGGTATATCCCACATGTGCCCAGGTGTATCTCAGGTGTGCCCAGGTGTGCCCCAAACCCCTCTAGGTGTAGCCAGGTGTGCACCAGGTGTGCCCAGGTGTACCCAGGTGTGCCCCAGGTGTGCCCTAATCCCCTGTACCTGCCCCAGGTGTATCCCAGCTGTACCCAGGTGTATCCCAGCTGTACCCAGGTGTGCCCCCAGGTGTATCCCAGGTGTGCCCAGGTGTGTCCCAGGTACCTCCATGCAGTCCAGCGTGGTCCGGCTGGCTCTCAGGGCACTGCAGCAGCTGCCCCAGGTGTGCCCAGGTGTACCCCAAACCCCTTTAGGTGCCCCCAGCTGTACCCAGGTGTGCCCCAAACCCCTCTAGGTGTACCCAGGTGTATCCCAGCTGTACCCAGGTGTGCTCAGGTGTGCCCCAGCTGTGCCCAGGTGTGTCCCAGGTACCTCCATGCGGTCCAGCGTGGTCCGGCTGGCTCTCAGGGCGCTGCGGCAGCTGCCCCAGGTGTGCCCAGGTGTATCTCAGGTGTGCCCAGGTGTGCCCCAAACCCCTCTAGGTGCCCCCAGCTGTACCCAGGTGTGCCCCCAGGTGTGCCCCAGGTACCTCCATGCGGTCCAGCGTGGTCCGGCTGGCTCTCAGGGCGCTGCGGCAGCTGCCCCAGGTGTGCCCAGGTGTACCCCAAACCCCTTTAGGTGCCCCCAGCTGTACCCAGGTGTATCCCAGCTGTGCCCAGGTGTGCCCAGGTACCTCCATGCGGTCCAGCGTGGTCCGGCTGGCTCTCAGGGCGCTGCGGCAGCTGCCCCAGGTGTGCCCAGGTGTGCCCCAAACCCCTTTAGGTGCCCCCAGCTGTACCCAGGTGTGCCCCAGGTGTATCCCAGGTGCCCCCAGGTACCTCCATGCGGTCCAGCGTGGTCTGGCTGGCTCTCAGGGCGCTGCGGCAGCTGCCCCAGGTGTGCCCAGGTGTGCCCCAAACCCCTCTAGGTGCCCCCAGCTGTACCCAGGTGTGCCCCAGCTGTGCCCAGGTACCTCCATGTGGTCCAGCGTGGTCCGGCTGGCTCTCAGGGTGCTGCGGCAGCTGCCCCAGGTGTGCCCAGGTGTGCCCCAAACCCCTTTAGGTGCCCCCAGCTGTACCCAGGTGCCCCCAGGTGTGCCCCAGGTGTATCCCAGGTACCTCCATGCGGTCCAGCGTGGTCCGGCTGGCTCTCAGGGCGCTGCGGCAGCTGCCCCAGGTGTGCCCTAATCCCCTGTACCTGCCCCATGTGTATCCCAGGTGTATCCCAGGTGTGCCCCAAACCCCTCTAGGGGTATCCCAGGTGCCCCCAGGTGTGCCCAGGTACCTCCATGCGGTCCAGCGTGGTCCGGCTGGCTCTCAGGGCGCTGCGGCAGCTGCCCCAGGTGTATCTCAGGTGTGCCCAGGTGTACCCCAAACCCCTTTAGATGTACCCAGGTGTGCCCCAGGTGTCCCCAGGTGTGTCCCCAGGTACCTCCATGCGGTCCAGCGTGGTCCGGCTGGCTCTCAGGGCGCTGCGGCAGCTGCCCGCCTCGGACAGGGCCCCGTAGCGCTGGGCCAGGAGCCGCGCCCGCAGCCGCAGGTACCAGCGCCGGGCCTCACCTGCCAGGTGCCCGCCCTGCGCCCGCTCCCGCAGCAGCTGCGAGCGCCGCCGCACGTACTGAGTGCGGAACTGCGGCAGCTGCGGCGTGCGGTACGCCGCGTACCTGCACAGGTGAGACACAGGTGAGGGACAGGTGAGAAATGGGGTTAACTCTAACCAAAACCAGAGAAATTCCACCCAAAACCAGAGCCAGGTGCGCGGAACTGCGGCAGCTGCGGTGTGCGGTACCTGCACAGGTGAGACACAGGTGAGAGACAGGTGAGAGACAGGTGAGATACAGGTGAGGAATGGGGTTAATTCTAACCAAAACTAGAGAAATTTCACCCAAAACCAGACTCGGGTGTGCGGAACTGCAGCAGCTGTGGGGTGCAGTACCTGCACAGGTGAGAGACACAGGTGAGAGACACAGGTGAGATTTGGGGTTAATTCTACCAAAAACCAGAGAAATTTCACCCAAACCCAGACTCGGGTGTGCGGAACTGCGGCAGATGTGGGGTGAGGTACCCCGTGTACCTGCACAGGTGAGAGACAGGTGAGAGACAGGTGAGGAATGGGGTTAATTCTAACCAAAACTAGAGGAATTCCACCCAAAACCAGAGAAATTCCACCCAAAACCAGACCCAGGCACGCGGAACTGCAGCAGCTGCGGCGTGCGGTACCTGCACAGGTGAGACACAGGTGAGAGACAGATGAGATACAGGTGAGAGACAGGTGAGAAACAGGTGAGAAACAGGTGAGAGACAGGTGAGAGACAGGTGAGAGACAGGTGAGATTTGGGGTTAATTCTACCCAAAACCAGAGAAATTTCACCCAAACCCAGACTCGGGTGTGCAGAACTGCGGCAGATGTGGGGTGAGGTACCCCATGTACCTGCACAGGTGAGACACAGGTGAGAGACAGGTGAGGAATGGGGTTAACTCTAACCAAAACTAGAGGAATTCCACCCAAAACCAGAGAAATTCCACCCAAACCCAGACTCGGGTGTGCGGAACTGCGGCAGCTGCGGTGTGCGGTACCTGCACAGGTGAGAGACAGGTGAGAGACAGGTGAGAGACAGGTGAGAGACAGGTGAGACAGAGGAGAGACAGAGGAGATACCAGTGAGAAATGGGGTTAATTCTACACAAAACCAGAAAATTCTGCCCAAAAAATAGACCCAGGTGTGCAGAACTGCGGCAGCTCTGGCATGCGGTACCCCGCGTACCTGCACAGGTGAGACACAGGTGGGACAGGTGAGAGACAGGTGAGAAATGGGGTTAAATTCTGCCAAAAACCAGAGAAATTCTACCCAAAACCAGACCCGGGTGTGCGGAACTGTGGCAGCTGCAATGTGCAGAACGCCGCATACCTGGGACAGGTGAGAGTCAGGGGAGATACAGGTGAGGGACAGGTGGGAAATGGGGTTAGTTCTACCCAAAAGCAGAGAAATTCCACCCAAAAATGGGCCCAGGTGTGCAGAACTGCAGCGGCTGTGGGGTGCAGTACACAGGTGGGACACAGGTGAGAGACAGGTGAGAAATGGGGTTAATTCTACACAAAACCAGAAATATTCCACCCCAAAACTGGCCCAGGTATCACAATCCCCTAAAAAGATGCCCCAAAATCTCCAAATTTCCGCATCCAGGTAGGAGCATCCCCCACTTTAACAGCAGCAGGTGCCGAATTCCACCGAAAAGAACCCAGGTATGAGCATCCCCCCCCTCACAAAACCACACAGGTATCCAAAATCCTCCCCAAAAAATCCCCCCGAGCTCACCGCGCATCCACGGCGAGCACCTGCTGCCACACGGCGGCCATGGCGGCCGCGGCCGCCGCGGGGGGACCCTGCCAAGGGAACAACGGCGTGAGCTGAGGGGGAAAATGGGGAAAAAAAGAGGAAAAAAGAGCAGCGAGGCGGCCCTACCTGCGCGTCCCGCTCCACCTCCGCCTCAGGAGCTCCGCGGGGCCGGGGCTGGGCCGGGGGAGCGCGGATGGGCCGGACCGGAAGTTGCCGCGGCCCCGCCTCACGCCCAAATGGCGGCGCGCGTCGTCCTGGAGACGCGGGGGGCGGTGGGAGAGGGCGTGGTCGCTGAAATGATTGGTTGGTTTTGGGAAATGGGGCGTGGGGTTTGGCTCGTCTGTAATTCCCGCCTTCCAGGAGCGCGCGCTGATTGGGTGAGCACGCAAAAGGGGCGTGGAAAACGTGTTTCTTTATGGTTATTGTAGTTCCAGAGCGCCCCAGGATTGGCCGCTCCGCCCGGCACCTCTCGTCTGCCCCGGGTCCTCCCGCCCGCCAAAATTGCGACAACACAGTGGGGCGAGCAGGACACTTTACGGCAGCGGGTCGGGGGTCCCGGGAGGGTCCCGAGGGAGTTTTAGGAGGACCCCGAGGGAATTCCGGTGCCTCCGAGACGGCTCCGTGAGCACCGAATTCCCCCCCCGCGCCCTCCTTTGTGCCGCGCCACGGCGCAGCTCTGAGCGCGCCTCGCTTGACGGCGGCTCGTACGACAGCCTCAGGGGCGTGCGGCGCGCTTTACGGCAGCGCGGCGGGGGCAGCGGGGCCGGGGGGATTTTGGGGGGTCCCGGGGGGGCTTTGGGGGGTCCCGGAGGGTCCCGGGGGGGGCCGGGGGCCGGTGCCCCCCCCGAGGATGCCGCTGGCCGTGCAGTGGCCGTTCCCCACGGAGCCGTCGCGGCGCTGGGCCCTGGCGAGCCGCGTGGTCACGGGCCTGGTGGGCACCTACAGCTGCGTGTGGACCCGTGAGTGACCCCCCCCCCCCTAAATCTGGGGAGACCCCTCCTCAAATCCCGGTTCAGAGGGAGAGACCCCCCCCTAGATCCCCGTTCTGAGGGGAAACCACCCCAAAATCCCAGTTGTGAGGGGAGACCCCTCCTCAAATCCCGGTTCTGAGGGGAAACCCCTCCAAAATCCCGGTTCTGAGGGGAAACCCTCCCAAATCCCGGTTCTGAGGGGAGACCCCCCCAAAATCCCTCCTGGACGTCACCCCCAGACCACCCCAGGCCACCCCGAACCCATTTGGGGGGGTCCCATCCCTTTATCTTTTCAGGACCCCCCCCCAGTAGGTTTGGGACCCCCCCAAATCTTGTCAGATCCTCGGGACCCCTCCCCAAATGTATTTGGGATCTGTTCCCAAGCACCCCTGGGGACCCCCAGCTCCTTTGAGAGCCCCTAAAACCCTCCAGACCCCTCCAAGACCCCTCAAATTCCCTCTCCAACCCCTTCAGAACCCCTTGAGGACCCCCCAAACCCCCTTAAACCTCCTTGAGGACCCCCCCAAAGCCCCCCCGGACCCCCTCCCCTCCCCAGGGTACCTGAACCGGCTGCGGGTTCACAACGCTGAGGTTCTGCACGAGCTGGTGGAGAGGAGGGGGCCCGGGACCCCCCTGCTGACCCTGTCCAACCACGCCTCCTGCATGGACGACCCCCACCTCTGGGGTATTTGGGGAGGGGGGGTCCTAAAGGGGGTCCTAGAGGGGTTTAGGGGGGAATTTGAGGGGTTTTGAAGGGTTTTGGGGGGTCCCGGGGGGGTTTGGGGGTGTCCTAGAGGGGCTGGGAGGGTCCTGGAGGGTCCTAAAGAGGCTGGGGGGGCATTGGAGAGGGGGATCTGAAGGGTTTTGGGGGGTCCTGGGGGTCCTTGAGAGGCTGGGGGGTCCTGGGGGGTTCTAAAGGGGTTGGAGGAGGAATTTGGGGGGGAGATCTGAAGGATTTTGGGAGTTTTGGGGGGGTCCTTGATGGGTCCTTGAGGGGCTGGGGGGTTCTAAAGGGGTTGGAGGAGGAATGTGGGGGGGGTCTTGGGTGGGTCTGAAGGGTTTGGGGGTTCCTGGGGGTGTTTGGGGGGTCCCAGGAGGTCCTAAAGGGGTTGGAGAAGGAATTTGGGGGGGGGTCCTGAAGGGGTTTGGGGGGGTCCTGAAGGGGATGAAGGAAAAATCTGGGGGGGTCTTGAGGAGGTTTGAACAATTTGGGGGGGGGTCTGAAGAGTTTTGGGGGGGTCCTGGGTGGGTTTTGGGGGTCCTCGAGGGGCCTGGGGGGGTGTGGAGGGTCCTGAGGGATCTGGGGGGGTCCTAAAGGGGTTGAAGGGGGGATTTGAGGGGTCTGGGGGGGTCTGAAGGGTCTGGGGGGGATCTAAAGGATTTGGGGGGGGGTCTCAGGGGGTTTTGGGGGGTTCTGGAGGAGTCTCGGGGGGTTTTGGGGGGTTCTGGGGGGGTCTCGGGGGGTTTGGGGGGTCTGGGGGGGGTCTCAGGGGTTTTTTGGGGGTTCTGGGGGGGGGTCTCAGGGGGTTTTGGGGGGTTCTGGGGGGGTCTGAAGGGTTTGGGGGGTTCTGGGGGGGTCTCAGGGGGTTTTGGGGGTCTGGGGGGGTCTCAGGGGGTTTTTGGGGGTCTGGGGGGGGTCTCAGGGGTTTTTTGGGGGTCCCCGTGACCCCCGTGACCCCCCCAGGGTCCCTGAAGCTGCGCCACGTCTGGAACCTGCCCAGGATGCGCTGGTAGGGGCTGGGGCTGGGGCTGGGGGGTTTTGGGGGGGTCCCAGGGCGGTTTGGGGGTCCCAGGGGGGTTTGGGGGGGTCCCAGGGCGGTTTTGGGGGGTCCCAGCGCCCCCTCCCCACGTTTGCCCTCCCCCAGGACCCCCACGGCCGCTGACATTTGCTTCACCCGGGAGCTGCACTCGCTCTTCTTCAGCCTGGGCCGCTGCGTGCCCGTGTGCCGCGGTACTGGGACAAACTGGGACAAACTGGGAGGGGACTGGGACAAACTGGGAGGGACTGGGAGGGACTGGGGGGGACTGGGAGGGACTGGGAGGGACTGGGAGGGACTGGGGGGGACTGGGAGGGACTGGGAGGGACTGAGAGGGACTGGGAGCACTGCGTGCCTGTGTGCCGCAGTAACTGGGGGAACTGGGAGGGACTGGGACAAACTGGGAATGGACTGGGATGGGATTGGGACACACCGGGACAGACTGGGGGGGACTGGGAGAGACTGGGACAAACTGGGGGAGGGACTGGGATAGGATTGGGGGGGACTGGGAGGGACTGGGAGGGACTGGGAGCACTGAGTGCCCATGTGCTGCGGGTAACGGGGGAAACTGGGACAGACTGGGAGGGACTGGGACACACTGGGACAAACTGGGACGGACTGGGAGGGACTGGGATAGACTGGGGGGGACTGGGACAAACTGGGAGCACTGCATGCCCATGTGCTGTGGTAACTGGGACAGACTGGGAGGGACTGGGAGGGGACTGGGAGGGACTGGAACAAACTGGGAATGGACTGGGAGGGGACTGAGGGTACTGCGTGCCCGTGTGCTGCAGTAACTGGGAGCACTGGGACAAACTGGGAGGGACTGGGATGGGATTGGGAGGGAGTGGGAGGGACTGGGACAAACTGGGAATGGACTGGGAGGGACTGGGGGCGCTGCGTGCTGGTGTGCCACGGTAACTGGGGGAACTGGGACAGACTGGGAGGGACTGGGACAAACTGGGAATGGACTGAGGGGAACTGGGAGCACTGGGAGGGACTGGGAGGCTTCTGATTTGTACTGGGAGGCGCTGGGTCGTTCCCAGTATGGACTGGGAGGGTTCCAGTCCATACTGGGATGGCTGTGGTTGCTCTGAGGCCGTTCCCAGTCCGTACTGGGAGGGTCCCAGTTTGAACTGGTCCCGCAGGGGATGGCGTCTACCAGCGGGGCATGGATTTCATACTGGAAAAGCTCAACCAGGGAGACTGGGTGCACGTGTTCCCCGAGGGTACTGGGAGCACTGGGAGGGACTGGGAGGGGATTGAGATGAACTGGGATGGACTGGGAGGAAAATGGGAGCACTGGGAGGGACTGGGATGGGACTGGGAAGGGATTGAGAGGACTGGGATAGACTGGGAGGAAAATGGGAGCACTGGGAGGGACTGGGATGGGACTGGGAAGACCTGGGAGGGGTCCCTGGGGGGATTTTTGGGGGTCTCATAGTGGAATTTTGGGGGTCCCAGGGGGGTTTTTGGATTTCTTGAGGTGATTTTGGGGTACTGGGGGGAATTTTGGGTGTCCTTGGGGGATTTTTGGGGTTTCTTGAGGGGATTTTGGGGTCCCCTGGGGAGATTTTGGGGTCCCTGGGGGATTTTGGGGGTCGTGGGTGGAATTTTGGGTGTCCTTGGAGGATTTTTGGGTTTCTTGAGGGGAATTTTGGGTGTCCTTGGGGGATTTTTGGGGTTTCTTGAGGGGATTTTGGGGTCCCCTGGGGAGATTTTGGGTGTCCTTGGGGGATTTTGGGGGTCGTGGGTGGAATTTTGGGTGTCCTTGGGGGATTTTTGGGTTTCTTGAGGGGATTTTGGGGTCCCCTGGGGAGATTTTGGGGGTCCTGACCCCCCCAGCCCCATTTTTTCCCCCCTCAGGTAAAGTGAACCTGGGCCAGGAGGTCGCTCGCTTCAAGTGGGGTGAGACCCCCAAAAAAAACCCCCAAAAACCCCAAAAATCCCCCTTGGATCCCCCCCAAAACCTTTGGGACCCCAAAAATCCCCCCTAAAACCCTCAAAATCCCTGTAGACCCCACCACAAACACCCCGGGACCCCAAAAATCCCCCCCAAAAAACGCCCCAAAAATCCCAAACTTGCCCCAAATTCCCTCAGTGGGGTTCTGAAGACCCCTCCAGACCTCCCCAAACCCCTCCAATCACCCCAAAATCCCCTCAAACCCCCTCCCCAAATCCCCCAAATTCCCCCTAGGGATCCAGAGCCCCCCCAAATCCCCTCTGGGGGTCCCAAAGCCCCCCAAAAATGCCCCCAAATCCCTCCCAAACCCCTTTGAGACCCCCAAAACTTCCCCCAAATTCCTCCCAAATTCCCCCTCAGGGTTTTAAGATTTCCCCCCCCAGACCCCTCCAATCACCCCAAAACCCCCCTGGGCCCCTCCCCAAATCCTTCCTGGGGTTCCAAAGCCCCCCCAAAATCCCCTAAATCCCTCCCAGACCCCTTTGAGACCCCCAAAACTTCCCCCAAATTCCCCTTTAGGGCTCTGAAGCCCCCCCCCCCCAAAACCCCTCCAATCACCCCAAAACCCCCCCTGGCTCCCCTCAAACCCCCTCCCCAAATCCCCCAAATCCCCCCTAGGGATCCAGAGCCCCCCCAAATCCCCTCTGGGGGTTCCAAAGCCCCCCAAAAATGCCCCCAAATTCTCCCCCCCCCCCCCCAGGCATCGGGCGGCTCCTGGCCGAGTGTCGCAGGGACCCCGTGATCCTCCCGCTGTGGCACGGGGGTGAGGGGGATTTGGGGGGTCCTGGGGGGATTTGGGGGGTCCCGAGGGGCTTTAGGGGGTCCTGGGGGCCTTTAGGGGGGTCTTGGAGGGATTTGGGGGGGTTCTGGGGGGCTTTGGGGGGGTCTTGGAGGGATTTGGGGGAGCTTGAGGGGCTGGGGGACACTGAGAGAGCCTTTGGGGAGGGGTCCTGGGGGGATACAGGAGAAGATTTTGGGGGGTCCCAGGGGAGTTTGGGGGGTCTGAGGGGGCACTGAGGGGTTTTGGGGGGCCCTGGGGGTCTTGGGGGGACACTGAGGGAGCTTTTGGGGAGGGGTCTGGGGGGTCCTGGGGGTTTGGGGGGCACAGGAGGGGTCTGGGGAATCCTGAAAGGGGCACAGGGGAGGATTTTGGGGGGTCCCAGGGGGCACTGAGGGGTTTTGGGGGGGTCTTGGGGGTTTTGGGGGAACACCAGGGGGGTTTTGGGGAGGGGTCTGGGGGGATTTTGGGGTCTTGGGGTGACTGGGGTGGGGCACAGAGGAAGATTTTGGGGGGTCCCAGGGGGGTTTGGGGAGGTTTTAGGGTGGTTTAGGGGGGGTCCCGAGGGGTTTTTGGGGGGGGTCCCGAGGGGTTTTTGGGGATGTTTTGGGGGGTCCCGAGGGGTTTTTGGGGATGTTTTGGGGGGGGGTCCCAAGGGGTTTTTGGGGGGGGGGTCCCAAGGGGTTTTTGGGGATGTTTTGGGGGGTCCCGAGGGGTTTTTGGGGATTTTTTAGGGGGGTCCCGAGGGGTTTTTGGGGGGGGTCCCAAGGGGTTTTTGGGGATGTTTTGGGGGGGGTCCCAAGGGGTTTTTGGGGATGTTTTGGGGGGGGTCCCAAGGGGTTTTTATTCTGTCCCAGGTGATTTTGGGCTGTGACCTCGAAGATTTTGGGGTGACCAGGGGAGATTTTGTGACCATGGGGGGGTCAGGGAAGTTGGGGGGGGTCGGTTCTGATTTTGGGGAGGGGTCCCACGGTTGTGCCCCCCCTCATTTTGTGTTCCCCACCCCCCCCCAGGGATGAGCGATGTCCTCCCCAACCATCGGCCCTACGTGCCCCGGGTGGGGCAGGTGAGGGGAAATGGGGGGGCTGGGGGCACTTTTGGGGTCTCTGGGGGAGTTTTGGGGGGTCTGGGGGACATTTGGGGGGTCTCTGAGGGGATTTTGGGGTCTCTGGGGGGGATTTTTTGGGATCTCTGTGGGATTTTTTAGGATGTTTTTGCCATCTCTGGGTTTTTTTTTGGGGGGCTCTGTGGGATATTTTGGGGTCTATGGAGGGGTTTTGGGGGGGCCTCAGGGGGTTTTGGGGGTCTCTGGGGGATTTGGGATCTCTGAGGGGATTTTGGGGTCTCTGAGTGACATTTTGGGGGGGTTTTTTGGGGGTCTTTGAGGAGATTTTGGGGTCTCTGAGGGGTTTGAGATCTCTGGGGGAGTTTTGGGGTCTCTGGGCGACATTTGGGGGCAGTTTTGGAGGGGTCTCTGAGGGGATTTTGGGATCTCTATGGGGATTTTTGGGATCTCTGTGGGATTCTGGGTGTCCCAGGGTGGATTTGGGGGTCTCAGGGTGGATTTGGGGGTCTCTGTGGGATTCTGGGGGTCTCAGGGTGGATTCTGGTGGTTTCAGGGTGGATTTTGGGGTCTCAGGGTGGATTTGGGGATCTCAGGGTGGGTTTTGGGGTCTCTGGGTGGATTCTGGGGGTCTCAGGGTGGATTTTGGGGGTCTCAGGGTGGATTTTGGGTGGTCTCAGGGTGCATTTTGGGGGTCTCAGGATGGATTCTGAGGGTCTCAGGGTGGATTTGGGGGTCTCAGGGTGAATTTTGGAGTTTCAGGGTGGATTTGGGTGTCCCAGGGTGCATTTTGGGGGTCTCAGGGTGGATTCTGGTGGTTTCAGGGTGGGTTTTGGGGGTCTCAGGGTGGATTTGGGGGTCCAGGGTGGATTTGGGGTCTCAGGGTAGGTTTTGGGTGTCCCAGGGTGGGTTTTGGGTGGTCTCAGGGTGCATTCTGGGGTCTCAGGGTGGGTTTTGGAGTTTCAGGGTGCATTCTGGGGGTCTCAGGGTGCATTTTGGGGGTCTCAGGGTGGGTTTTGGGTGTCCCAGGGTGCATTTTGGGGGTCTCAGGGTGGGTTTTGGGGGTCCCTGCTCCCCCTGACCCCATTTCCCCCCCCCCCAGCACATCACGGTGGTCGTGGGGCGCCCGTTCAGTGCCCGACCCCTCCTGGAGCGGCTGCGCAGCGAGGGGACCCCCACGGTGGGTGTGGGGTGGGACCCCCACATTTGGGGGGTCCTGACCCCGAGATTTGGGGGGATCTGACCCCAAGATTTAGGGTTTACCCCATAGAATTGGGATTTGCCCCAGAAATTTGGGGTCTGACCCCGAGATTTAGGGAGTTCTGACCCCGGGATTTGGGGATTTTGACCTCGAGATTTGGGGTTTGACCCAGAGATTTTGGGGGTTTCTGACCCCAAGATTTGGGGTTTTGACCCTGGGATTTGGGGGGGTCTGACCCCAAGATTGAGGGTTTACCCCACAGAATTGGGATTTATGCCAGAAATTTGGGGTTTGCCCCATAGATTTGGGTTCTGACCCCAAGATTTGGGGGTTTCTGACCCTGAGATCTGGGGGGTTTGGACCCTGAGATTTCGGGGTTCTGATCCCAAGATTTGGGGAGTTCTTACCTCGGGATTTGGGGGTTCTGCCCCAGAGATCTGTGGGTCCCAGCCCCATAAATCCCTGGATCCCAGCCCCACAAATCCCTGGATCCCAGCCCCACAAATCCCTGGATCCCAGCCCCATAAATCCCTGGATCCCAGCCCCATAAATCCTTGGATCCCAATCCCATAAATCCATGAATCCCTGCCCCACAGATCCATGGCTTCCTTTTCCCAGCCCCATAAATCCCTTTCCCAGCCCCACAGCTCAGTGTCTGTGCCCCATAGATCTCATAAATCCCTGGATCCCAACCCCATAAATCCATGAATCCCTGCCCCACAAATCCCTGGATCCCAGCCCATAAATCCATGAATCCCTGCCCCATAAATCATTGGATCACAGCCCCATAAATCCCTGGATCCCAACCCCATAAATCCATGAATCCCAGCCCCATAAATCCCTGGATCCCAGCCCCACAAATCCCTGGATCCCAGCCCCATAAATCCATGAATCCCTGCCCCATAAATCCTTGGATCCCAATCCCATAAATCCCTGGATCCCAGCCCCACAGCTCGGTGTCTGTGCCCCATAGATCCCATAAATCCCTGGATCCCAGCCCCACAGCTCGGTGTCTGTGCCCCACAGATCCCATAAATCCCTTTCCCAGCCCCACAGCTCGGTGTCTCTGCCCCATAGATCCCATAAATACCTGGATCCCAGCCCACAGCTCGGTGTCTGTGCCCCATAGATCCCATAAATCCCTTTCCCAGCCCCACAGCTCAGTGTCTGTGCCCCATAGATCCCATAAATCCCTGGATCCCAGCCCCACAGCTCGGTGTCTGTGCCCCACAGGTTGAGCTCCGTAAGGCTCTGACCGATTTTGTCCAGCGGGAATTCGAGGCTCTGCGGGGCCACGCCCGGACCCTGCACCCCACCCCATAACTGGGGGTCCCCCCACCCCATAACTTGGGGGTTCTGCCCCATAACTGGGGGGTTCTGCCCCATAACCTGGGGGTTCTGCCCCACAACTCGGGGTTGTGCCCCATAGCAAGGCCCTCCTGCCCCATAAAGGGGGATTTTACCCCAAAAATTGGGGGTCTTGCCCCAAAATTGGGGATCCCTGGTGGAGCCCCTGCCCCATAGAGAGGGGTCCTGCCCCATAGAGAGGGGTCCTGCCCCCACTGAGCCCCCCAAACTGTGCACGGTGCCAATAAAAGAAGGTGAAACCTCGGGGTCTCTTGGGGTCCCACAGGGGATTTTGGGGTCCCAGAGGGAAATTGGGAGGTCCCCAAGATGGAATTTGGGGTCTTAGGGGGGAAATTTGGGGGTCCCAGAGGGAAACTGGGAGGTCAATGATGGAATTTGGGGTCTTAGGGGGGAAATTTGGGGTCCCAGGGAGAATTTGGGAGGTCCCATGATGGAATTTGGGGTCTTAGGGGGGAAATTTGGGGTCCCAGGGAGGATTTGGGGTCCCAAACCAACCGAGTCCCAACCCGAGGTGATTTTATTGAAGCCGAAAAAAAGGAGAGGGGTCCCCATTGCCCCCCCAAAAAACCCCCTGGGAAGAGGGGGGGACAAAAGGGGGGGTTCAGCCTCCCCAAAACGAGGCTTGGACCCCCCGAAAAATGAGATTTGGACCCCAAAAAAAGGGTGAAAGGTCCCAAAAATGACACCAGAACCCCCCCAAATATGGTGTTGAGGGCGTGGCCTTGTCATGAGGGCGGGGCTTGGTCCGGAAGAGGCTGTTGGGGGCGTGGCCTGGTCCCAGGGGCGGGGTTTACAACCGTTGTGGGCGTGGTTTGAAGCTGTTTGTGGGCGTGGTCTCAACGTGGCCCCGCCCCTCACTCCTCCTTCTTGTCCCGGGGTCCGTCGTGGGCGGCCTGGGGGGGGCAAAGGGGGAATTGAGGGAGGTTTTGGGGGTCCCGAGGGATTTTGGGGTGCACTGGGGGGATTTGGGGGTTGGGAAGGGATTTTGGGGGTCCTGGAAGGGATTTTGGGGGTCCCGAGGGGTTTTGGGGGTCCCGAGGGCGTTTTGGGGTGCACTGGGGGGGATTTGGGAATTTAGGGGGACCCACAGAGGGGGTTTGGGGGGTCCTGGAGGAGATTTTGGGGGGTCCCCAATGGGATTTGGGGAGTTTTGGGGGGAATTTTGGGGGTCCCCTCAGGATATTTTTTGGGGGGTATTACTGGGGTCCCCAGGGGTATTTTGGGGTGTTTTTATGGTATTTTGAGGGGTATTTTGGGGTGTTTTGGGCGGTATTTTTATGGTATTTTTGGGGGGGTTTTGGGGTTTTTTGGAGGACATTTTTGGGATATATTTTTTGAGGTATTTTGGGTTATTGTGAGGTATTTTTGGGGATATTTTGAGGAATATTTTTGTGGCATTTTGGAGGCTATTTTTGGGGTGGGTTCTGGTATTTTGGGGTGCATTTTGTGGTATTTTTGTGGTATTTGGGGGTGTATTTCAAGGGTATTTTTGGGGGTGTTTTATGGTATTTTTGGGGTACTCATTTTGGGGTTTTTTGGGGTATTTTGGGGGTATTCTTTGGGTGCTTTGGGAGTATTTTTGGTGTATTTTTGGGGGTATTTATTTTGGGGGTTTTTGGGGTATTTAGAGGTATTTTGGGGGTAGTTTTTGGGTGCTTTGGGGTATTTTGGGGTGGTTTTTGGGGCAGTTTTTGGGGTATTTTTGGGTTGGTTTGGGGGTATTTAGGGGTGGGGTCTGAGGTATTTTTTGGGGTGGTTTGGGGGAATTTTGGGGTGGGGTTGGAGGTATTTTTGGGGTGGTTTGGGGGTATTTAGGGGTGGGTTGGAGGTATTTTTGGGGTGGTTTGGGGGTGTTTTGGGGTGGGGTCTGAGGTATTTTTTGGGGTGTTTTGGGGGTATTTTGGGGTGGAGTGTGAGGTATTTTTTGGGGTATTTTGGGGGTGTTTTTTGGGGCGGTTTTTGGGGTATTTTTGGCGTATTTTGGGGGTGGTTTTTTGGGGCAGTTTTTGGGGTATTTTTGGGGTGTTTTGGGGGTGTTTTGGGGTGGGGTCTGAGGTATTTTTTGGGGTGTTCTGGGGGTGTTTTGGGGTGGGGTCTGAGGTATTTTTTGGGGTATTTTTGGGGTGTTTTTGGGGTGTTTTGGGGTACCTGCAGCCTGGCGTGCTCCTCCAGCAGCCGATCGTACTCGCGGGTCAGGCCCTGGGCCTGGCGCCTCATGGCCTGCACCTCGCTCTCGGCCTTCTCCAGAGCTGGGGGGAATTTTGGGGGAAATTTGGGGGATTTTGAGGAATTTTGGAATTTTTTCTGACCCCCCCAAACCCCTCCTGACACCCCCAAATCCTCCAGACCGCCCCATTTTTGAGGAGCTCAGGGTCACCTCAAATTCCCCCAAATTCTTCCATAACCCCTCCCAGACTCCCTCAAAATTCTCCAAAATTCCCCCAAAATCCCTCTTTAAATTTCTCAGACCCCCCAAATCCCCTTTAAATCCCTCAAATTCCTCATCACCATCCCAAACCACCCTAAATTCACAAATTTTCCCCCCAAAATCCCTCTTTATTTCCTCAGACCCCCCAAAAATTCCCCTTTAAAACCCCCCCCCCAAATTCCCCTTTAAGCCCTTCAGATCCCCCTAAAATTCCCCTTTAACTCCCCAAAAATGCCCAAAATTCCCCTTTAACCCCCCCCAAATTCCCCTTTAACCCCCCCAGACCCCCCTAAAATCCCCAAAATTCCCCTCTAACCCCCCCAAAATTCCCCTTTAACCCCCCCAGATCCCCCTAAAATCCCCAAAATTCCCCTTTAAACTCCTCAAAAATCCCCAAAATTCCCCTTTAACCCCCCAAAAATCCCCAAATTTCCCCCTTACCCTTCTTGCTGAGCTCCAGCTCCTCCTTCAGTGACTCCACCTTGGCCTTGAGGGTCTCATTCTCGTCCCGGGTGGGGGACGGGGCCCCCCAGACTCCTTCAGTTGCTGAGGGGCACAAAAAAGGGGGGGTTCAGGGTTTTTGGGGGGTCTGAGGGGTTAAATCAGGGGGTTGGGGTTTTATCCTGATTTTTTTTAGGGTTTTTTGGGGGTTTATTCCAATTTTTTTAGGGTTTTTTTGGGAGTTTATCCTGATTTTTTTGAGCGACTTATCCTATTTTTGGGGGCAGTTTATTCTGATTTTTTGGGGGTTTATTCTGATTTTTTTGGTTTTAGGGGATCCCAGGTGTTTTTAGGTATCCCAGGTGTTTTTGGGGTTGTTTTCAGGTGGTTTTTGGGGTTGTTTCCAGGTGTTTTTTGGGGTTGTTTTCAGGTGGTTTTTGGGTGTTTTTGGGGTTGTTTCCAGGTGTTTTTGGGATTGTTTCCAGGTGTTTTTTGGGGTTGTTTCCAGGTGGTTTTGGGGTTGTTTTCAGGTGATTTTTGGGGTGTTTTTTGGGGTTGTTTCCAGGTGGTTTTTGGGGTTGTTTTCAGGTATTTTTGGGGTTGTTTTCAGGTGGTTTTTGGGGTGTTTTTGGGTTTGTTTCCAGGTGTTTTTTGGGGTTGTTTCCAGGTGGTTTTTGGGGTTGTTTTCAGGTGGTTTTTGGGGTTGTTTTCAGATGGTTTTTGGGGTTGTTTCCAGGTGTTTTTTTGGATTGTTTTCAGGTGGTTTTTTGGATTGTTTTCAGGTGTTTTTTTGGATTGTTTTCAGGTGTTTTTTTGGATTGTTTTCAGGTGGTTTTGGGGTTGTTTTCAGGTGGTTTTTGGGGTGTTTTTTGGGGTTGTTTTCAGGTGTTTTTTGGGGTTGTTTTCAGGTGGTTTTTGGGGTTGTTTCCAGGTGGTTTTTGGGGTTGTTTCCAGGTGTTTTTTGGGGTTGTTTCCAGGTGTTTTTTGGGGTTGTTTTCAGGTGGTTTTTGGGGTTGTTTTCAGGTGGTTTTTGGGGTGTTTTTTGGGGTTGTTTCCAGGTGGTTTTTGGGGTTGTTTTCAGGTATTTTTTGGGTTGTTTTCAGGTGTTTTTTGGGTGTTTTTTTGGGGTTGTTTTCAGGTGGTTTTGGGGTTGTTTCCAGGTGGTTTTTGGGGTTGTTTTCAGGTGGTTTTGGGGTTTTTTTTTTCCAGGTGTTTTAGGGCAGCCTGTACCTTCCTGAGGGCGTCGTTGTCCTCCAGGTACTGCCGTGCGGCCTGGCTGGCGCCCTCGGCCTGCTTGCGGAACGCTTGGCTGGAGGCACCCAGGGCAGCCTGGGCCGAGATCAGCGTCACCAGGCGCCTCAGGAGGCTGGGGAGGACAAAAATGGGGGTGAGGGACCCCAAATTTGGCTTAGGGATCCCCCTGGGGTCACCCAGAACCCCCCCTGAGCTCCCTGGGCCTGTTGGGCTGAGGCCTGGCTGGAGGCCTCGAGTGCGGCCTAGGCCGAGATCAGGGCCTGGAAGCGCCTCAGGAGTTGGAGGGACAAATTTGGGATGAAGGACCCCCTAAATTGGGGTCAAGGACCCCCAAATTTGGGTTAGAGACCCCCCTGGATCACCCAGAGTCCCCCCCTCAGCTCCTCAGGCCTGTTGGGCTGAGGCCTGGCTGAAGGCCTCGAGTGCGGCCTAGGCTGAGATCAGGGCCTGGAAGCGCCTCAGGAGTTGGAGGGACAAGTTTGGGATGAAGGACCCCCCAAATTGAGGTCAAGGACCCCCCAAATTGGGGTCAAGGACCCCCAAATTGGGGTTAGAGACCCCCCTGGGTCTGCCAGAGCCCCCCCTGAGCTCCCTGGGCCTGTTGGGCTGAGGCCTGGCTGGAGGCCTCGAGTGCGGCCTAGGCCAAGATCAGGGCCCGGAGGCGCCTCAGGAGTTGGGGGGCACAAATAGGGGTCAGGAACCCAAAACTGGGGTGAGAGAGCCTCAAATTGAGCTGAGGGACCCCCAAATTTGGGTCAGAGACCTCACAAACCCCCCTGAATCCCCCCCCCCCCGAGCTCTTTGGGCCTGTGTGAGGCCCTGTCTGGAGGCTTTGAGTGCAGCCTAGGCCAAGATCAGGGTTAGGTCACCCCCAAACCCCCCAGATTGTGTCTGGGACCCCCCAAATTGTATCCAGGGCCCCCCAAATCCCCCCCAGGCTCACAAGGAGAGCAGCAGGGCGAAGCCAGCCAGGTACAGGTTCCTCTGGGCACGGAACAGTTTCATGTGGAAGTGCTCCAGCGCGGCCGGGCTGGTGCCCAGAGCCTCCTTGTCCCCCACGTTGTACCTACGGGTCTCCCTCAGGGCATCTGGGGGGACAGGGGGGTCAGCAGGGGGGGAAACCCCCAGAGACACCCCCCAAAATCCACCCGGAGCCACCCCAAATCTGCCCGGATACACTGAGGCAGCCCTCGCACAGAGGCGTCAAAATCTCCTCAAAATCCACCCAAAATTCCCCAAAAAACCTCCCCAGATTACCCCAAAATTCTCTCCAGATCTACCCAAATTGCCCCAAAAAATTCACCTGTAGTCACCCCAAATCCACCCAAATTTTCTCTCAAATTCCCTCAAATCCCCTCAAAATCCATCCAAAACTCCCCCAAAAAAATCACCCAACGTTCCCCCAAATTCACCCAAATTTCCTCCAAATTTCCCTCAAAAATCCTCCCAAATCCCAAAAATCTCCCCAAATTACCCCAAAATTCTCTCCAGATCTACCCAAAATTGCCCCCAAAAAATTCACCTGTCGTCCCCCCAAATCCACCCAAATTCTCTCTCAAAATTCCCTCAAATCCCCTCAAAATCCATCCAAAATTCCCCCAAAAAATCACCCAACGTTCCCCCAAATTCACCCAAATTTCCTCCAAATTTCCCTCAAAAATCCTCCCAAATCCCAAAAATCTCCCCAAACTTCCCTCAAAATTCTCTCCAGATCTACCCAAAATTGCCCCCAAAAAATTCACCTGTAGTCCCCCCAAATCCAC